GGCTTGCCCCCCGGGAAAAATTTTCACGGGGGGGGGACTCCCCTTGCAGCAGCCACGGCCACCGCCATTCCACCATGGAAAAGTCCACCCCCCCCCGGGACCCCCCCCCCCCCCCCCACCCTCCCACCCCGGCAGCCGCGCTCACCGCGCTCACCGCCCGCCCTCACCCCTCCACAGGATTCGAGCTCCAGCCGCAGCCGGGCGCGCGCGCGCGCAAAGCGGAGGCGCCGGAAGCGCGCGCGGAGCTCGAGCGACTCGGACTCGGACTCGAGCCCGCCGCGCTCGGCGCGGCGCAAGAAGAAGGCGGCGTCGCCGTCCGCCGACTCTGACGCCAAGCCGCGGCCCAAGGGCGACTCGCGCGCGTCGCGCGGCGGCTCAAAGTTCTCCTCGGCCACAGCGGCGGCGCCGGACGGGCACGACGGGCGGGCGGGCGCGGCGTGGCGGCCGCCCCCGGACGGCGGCCGGCCGTCGTGCGGCGAGGACCTGCGTCCGCTCCAGCACCACCGCTCGCGCGAGATGCTGCGCCGAGAGACGCCGCCGATGTACGCGCCGCCCGGCTATGCGCCGGCGCGCGGCGCGCCCGGCGTCTGGCCAGCGGGTGGCGGCGAGGGCTTCCACGGCGACGGCTTCCACGGGGACGGCTTCCACGGCCGCCTGCCGCCCAACGGCGCCGACCCCTACTGCGATGCGTGGAGGCACGAGCAGCCGCAGCCGCACGGCGCGGGCGCCGCGCTTCCTCCGCGCGCAGCCGCCAGCGCCGCTGCTCCGCCAGGGTACTTTCCCGACGGGTACCCCGCCGACGTGTACCCCGCGCACCCCGCGCGGGCGGCGCAGCCCGGCGCCGACGGCTTCCGCGAGCAGCATGCCGGTGGCGGCATGTGGCCCGACGCGGCACGCCAGCAGTACGCACACCTGCAACCCGTCGCGCGCTTTGGCGGCGAGGGTCCGCCTCGGGACGCGTCGTACTCGGAGCTGCCGCCTTACGGCGAGGCTCCGCCGTATGGGGAGGCGCGGTGCGCCAACGGCATGCCATGCGCCAACGGCATGTCATGCGCCAACGGCATGCCATGCGCCAACGGCATGTGCCCTCCGATGGTGGCGCACGCCGACATGGGGGCCTACGCCCCGGCTTGCGGCGGCGGCGGCTGCAGCGACGGCATGTCGCTTGCGGAGGTGACGGACCGCCACAGGGCGATGGTTGCCATGTCGGGCGGAGGGCCGGCGGCGGACGCGGGTGGTTACGGCCGCGGCGAGCCGCCGAGCCGTGGAGCGCCAGCCGCGCCTGCGAGCGGAGGCAGCAGCGCGTCGGAGGACGCGCTGTGGACGCGGTTCCGCCAGGCGATCGTGGAGTTTGCAAAGCCTCTGCTGAGAGGTGCGTCAGACACTTCGACGACCCCATCCCATCACCGCACGCGTCTTGCCCCTCTCAACCCTCCCCTGCCCCTTCCCTCAGGCCCGTACGAGCGCAACGAGATCTCTAAGGACGGCTTCCGGTCGGTCCTCAAAAAAACGGCGGAGAAGGCGCCCCGCCCTCCGCCCCCGCCCCCCCCCTCTGAGACTCGCTGTTTGAGAGGCCGCGAGCGCGTGAGACCGGCGCGCTTTAAGACTCGGGGTGCGGGAGGTGGGCGGGAGGGAGCGAGCGAGAGGCCGGGCAGGGCGAAACTGCGACCGAGGGGGAGCGGAAAGCTGACAAGCAAGCCGGCCGTCTACTTGCCTCCGTGCCGTAGGTGGTCAAGTCGTTCCAGCGCGAGGGGCTGCCCCCGCCTGCCAACCCCGACATTGCGGCCAACCAGCGCGCCAAGATTACAAAGCTGGTCGAGGAGTACCTCAAGTTGGCCAAGCGCGAGGAGGGGTAGCGAGCTTCGCTGCTTGCCCCCCTCCCGGCGGCGCCGCCGCCGCCACCGCCGCGTGGGGGCTGAAGCATGCGCAGCTTGTGGGACGCGGGGATGGGTGGGTGTGCATCTCGCGCCCTCGCACCCGAGTTGTGGTGCCTTGCGTGAAGACTCCGCGCACACACGCACCCGCGAGATGAGCCCTGGCTCCTCTGCCACCCACCTCACCACACGCGAGAATTGGGACCTCACATGCCTGGTGACCGACTGCGCGGCTGTGGGCCCGCTTCTGTCTTCTTTCTCCGTGGCGTGTGGGTGTGGCTTGCTCCTTTGTCACAGAAACATGCAAAAGAAAGAAAAAACTAGCCGCCTCTCAAGCAGACGCTGGGGGGACACTCACGCCCGAGGCGGTACGCACGACCCTTACAACCCTGACACAGTTGATGGCTCAGACTCTTGAGGCTTCCGCGCCGCCAGCGGTGGCGGTGGCAGAGGGCTTGCGCCTGCACCTCTCCAGCAGCGGCAGCACCGGCTACTTAGGCGTGTACGAGCTCGCCCCTGGCCGCTTCCTGGCGAAGCGCACGGTGGACAGAAGGCAGGTCTCCCTCGGCTACTACGCCACGGCGGTGGAGGCGGCGGTGGCGTACGCGCGGGCGGTCGGCGAGTACCAGCCTCCACCTCTGCCTCCTCCGCCGGTGGCGACGGAGGCGGAGGGCTTGCGGCTGCACCTCTCCAGCAACAGCAGCTCCGGATACAAGGGCGTCTACTTTTTGCACGGCCGCTTCTATGCTCAGCGGAGGCCGGACCGATGTCTCGGCTCCTTCGGCTCGGCGGTGGAGGCGGCGGTGGCGTACGCGAGGGCGGTCGACGAGGCGGAGGCGGCGGCGACAGCGGAAGCGGAGGCGACAGCAGGGGCGGCGGTGGCCAACGGGCGGGCTGGAGAGGAGGCGGCGACGACAGACCGAGACGAGCACCCCACCTACCAGCTCCGCCGCGCAGCCACGACGGCTCCCGCGACGAGTACGTCCCTGGCAGCCGCCACCGCCTCCACCTCTACCGCCACGTATGCGCGAGGAGACTGCGTCTCGTCGGCACCGCGGCCCGGGTATGGGAGGAAGAAGGCGTGGTTCCCCGCACGCATCGCTGCAGTCAACGCAGACGGCACGTACGATTTGGTCTACGAGGATGGCGACGAGGAGGAGGGCGTTGCGGCCGAGCACATCCGGCCCGAGCAGGCGGCGCCGCCCGAGGCCGCGGAGCAGGCAGAGGGCAGGAGCCCAAAAGCGCGCAAACTGGCGCGGCCGGCCGTGCCACCGCCGACGCCGCCCCCACCGCCGCCGCCGCCGCCGCCGCAGCCGCCGCCCAAGGGCCTGCCAGAGCCGCCACCGCCGGGGTCCGCGCCCGCAGCAGCAACCCTGCCGCCGGGCTGGAGCGTCGAGCAGCGCACGACCTCGTCGGAGCGCACGTACTCCATCTACCACAGCCCAGCGGGGCTGCGCTCCGCCTCGCTGGCCGACGCGTGGCGCAAGCACGACGCGGAGGCCGAGGCGGAGGCGCTGACGCTAAACTGGCTGGATCGGCTGCCGCCCCGCCGGCTCAAGCCGATCTGCGAGGAGAAGGGGCTGCCGGTGTCCGGCAACTCGGAGGCGCTGGCGAGGCGGCTGCGCGAGAGCGGCGGTCTGAGCGTGTCGCAGCTCAAGGCGCTGTGCGAGGCGGAGGGCCTCGTCAAGCAGGGCACCAAGGCGGAGCTCGCCCGGCGTTTGCTCGACAAGCAGTGTGCGGGCGCGGCGGAGCCGGCGGCGGGCAAGACCGCGACGCGCGGCAAGGGCACAAAGCGGCCGGCAGAGGCAGAGGGGCTGCGGCTGCACCTCACCAGCGAGAGCAGCGAGGGGGGGGAGGCGGCGCCGCCGGTGGCCGAAGAGGCAGAGGGGCTGGGTCTACACCTCTCCAGTAGCAACAGAACCGGCTACAGAGGCGTGTGGGAGCATCACTCTGGCCGCTTCGTGGCGCGGCACGTGGTGGACGGGAGGTACTGCAGCCTCGGCAGCTTCGACACGGCGGTGGAGGCGGCGGCGGCGTACGCGCGGGCGGTCGGCGAATATCAGCTTCCGACAGTGGCGGCGGAGGCGGAGGGCTTGCGGCTGCATCTCTCTAGCAGCGGCGTTACCGGCTACAAGGGGGTAACCAAGAGCACCGCGCAGGCTGGCCGCTTCGAGGCATCGCACTGGGTGGACGGGAGGCGGGTCTACGTCGGCTCCTTCGACACGGCGGTGGAGGCGGCGGTGGCGTACGCGCGGGCGGTCGCGGAGGCGCCGGAGCATGCAGCTGCGGAAGAGGGGGGGGAGGCAGAGGGGGAGGAGGAGGAGGAGGAGGAGGGGGAGGAGGGGGCAGAGCCGGCGTCGGTGGTCGAGGAGGCAGAGGGGCTGGGTCTGCGCCTCTCGAGCAACAGCAACGCCGGCTACAGGGGAGTGTACGCAAAGGCGGACGGCCGCTTCCGGGCGCAGCACATGGTGGGTGGAAGGCTGATCAGCCTCGGCTGCTTCGACACGGCGGTGGAGGCGGCGGCGGCGTACGCGCGGGCGGTCGGCGAGCCTCCCCCTCCTCCGACGGTGGCGGCGGCGGCGGAGGGCTTGCGCTTGCACCTCTCGAGCAGCAACGCTACAGAAGAGGCAGAGGAGGAGGAGGAGGGGGAGGAGGAGGAGGAGGAGGGGGAGGAGGGGGCAGAGCCGGCGTCGGTGGTCGAGGAGGCAGAGGGGCTGCGTTTGCACCTCTCCAACAGCAACAGCACCGGATACAGAGGCGTGCAGATGCAGAGGGGCCGTTTCAACGCGCGGCACATGCTGGACGGAACGTGTCTATACTTGGGCAGCTTCGGCACGGCGGTGGAGGCGGCGGTGGCGTACGCGCGGGCGGTCGGGCAGGGAGGAGCGGAGGAGGGCGAGGGTGAGGGCGAGGGAAAGGAGGGGGAGGAGGAGGAGGAGATGAAGGAGGCCGAGGAGGGGGAGGGCCTCTCTTGGCTCGAGCCCCTCGGGACGCGACCCCTCAAGGCGATGTGCAAGGCTCGCTGGGCCGCTTCCTGCTACGGCTTCGGCCGAGGTACCCTTCCCTTGAACCTCCTCGGCCCTTCCCGCAGGCGATGGGCCTCTCCTACTACGGCTTCGCCGATGACGCGACCGCGATCGCCGACCTGCTCCGCGGCCGGGGCGGCCCCACCCACCCGGCGCTGCGGGAGGCTTGCCGGGCGGCGGGCTTGCGCGTGAGCGGCACGGTTGCGGAGCTGGAGGCGAGGCTGGAGGAGTCCGTCGGTCTGGGCGGCGGCGAGGGGGAGGCGGAGAAGGGGGGGGGTGGCGTGGAGTGTGGCGCTGGCGGCGACGGCGGCGATGGAGGCGGCGATGGAGGCGGCCCTGGGGTAGGGCCGGGCGGGCGACGCCACTGCCTTGTGTGCCGCCGAGTCGGGCGGCGCCACTGCTCCATTCATAGGGAGGCACCCGACCCGCTGGCTCGGCCGGCTGCAGCTGCAGCGGTGACACCAGGATTGCGCCAAGAACGACAACAGGGATTGCGCGGGAGGCCAATGTCGGTAGCAGGAACATCGCTGTTGTGGGTTAACCAGCACACGGCGCAAGAGGCGGCGCCGCTCGAGCTGGCGTGCACTGGGTGCAAGGCTGCGCACCGGACGATTCACACTTGCCGGGTACGTTTGGAGAGATCCCCAGCGATGTACCGCCTCAACACCCTTTGACATCGATTGATTGCCACAGGTGGTGATGGGCCACACTGGCCCGAACTGGATCGAGGGCGCCATGGAGGAGGGCGAGGGCGAGGGCGAGGGCGAGAACGAGTCGACCGACGCGCCCGCGCCGAAGCGACGCTCTAGCCACGCCGCCGCCGTCGCACTCTCGGCAGCCTCTTCTACCACCCCTCCCGCCGCCTCCTCCTCTTCCTCCTCCGCCGCTACCGCCGCCGCCGCACCCACCGCACCCACAGAAGAGGAGGAAGAGGAGGGCGAGGAGGAGGGGGCTGGGGAGGAGGCGGCGGCGCCGGCGGCAGGACCGGAGCCCGCGCTAAACCCCGACGAGATTGTGACGGCGATCGTCTGCGACGGCTGCGACGGCGACTTCGAGCTGCCGCCGGGCGTGCCTGTTCCAGACGGCGAGTGGTATTGCGCGGCGTGCTGTGTTGGCGAGCGGGAAGGGGCACCGAAACCGGTGCAGGCGGTGGCGGAGGGGCTTCAACTGCACTTGTCTAGCAGCAGCCGGACGGGCTACACGGGCGTGTCGCTCCATCGCGCCTCTCGCCGCTTCCATGCGTTTCGCAGAGAGGGTTGCAAGAGCGTCTACATCGGCACCTACTGCACGGCAGTGGAGGCGGCGGTGGCCTACGCGAGGGCGGCCGAGCAGGCGGGGGCAGGATTCGCCGAGCCGGCGGAGCTGCCGTCGTCGTCTGTGGATTCGCCGAGGGCGGCCGAGCAGGTGCGGGCAGGATTCGCCGAGGCACCGTCAGTGGCTGCGTCAGTGGCACAAGAGGCAGAGGGGCTGCGCCTGCACCTCTCGAGCACCAACAGCACCGGCTACACGGGCGTGTCCTGGACCGGCTCCCGCTTTGCGGTTGAGATCAAGTTGAATGGGAGGCGGGTCCACTTGGGCACTTTCGACACGGCGGTCGAGGCGGCGGTGGCGTACGCGCGGGCGGGCGGGGAGGCTCCGGCGGTGGTGGCAGATGCGGGAGGGGTGCGGTTGCACCTGTCTAGCCGCAATCCCACCGGCTACCGCGGTGTGACCAAGGGTTGCGGCCGCTTCCGGGTTGAGATCAAGTTGAATGGGAGGCGGGTCCACTTGGGCACTTTCGACACGGCGGTCGAGGCGGCGGTGGCGTACGCGCGGGCGGGCGGGGAGGGGCTGACGCCGGCCTCACGCGGCAAGGGGACCAAGCGCCCTCGCGAGCTCGGCTGCTTTTGCGGCACCGACCGCCACCTGCCGACCAACAACCTGCCGTTTGAGGGCGTGTGGATCAGCTGCGACGCGTGCGGCCGCTGGTGCCACGGCGAGTGCGCCGGTGTGGACAAGCAGCAGGCCGAGGAGGCGGAGGAGTACACTGAGGCAGGTAGCATGCCCCCTCCGGAGTACACCTGCCCGCTCTGCGCTGCCACCGACCAGAGCGCGGGCGCGTCCTCCGATGGCGGCTCGCCGCTCATCGTTGCTGCCGTCGTGAGCGACGGCGACGGCTCCGACGACGACGACTCTGCAGACGGCGCAGAGTGGGTCGACGCGGAGGTGGTCGAGATGGCGTTCGACGGGACGAACGCCGTCGGACCTGGCCGCAGCTCGGGCGAGCCGAGCGGCGGGTCCGACTTTTTGATCGCGCCGGGCCGCGCCCGGCCGCCACCGCCGCCCGCCGGGTGGGTGTGGCCGCGCGAGGGGGGTGTGATCGAGGTGGAGGTGGAGGAGGAGGAGGGGCAGCCCGCCGCGTGGCTCCGCGCGACCGTGACGGCCGTGCTGGAGGACGGTTGGTTTCAGGCGCTGGTCCGCACGCCGTCCGACGAGGCCGGATGGCACGACTGGTTCTCGTGGCGCGAGGAGGGCACCGACTGGCGGCGCGTGCCGCCCCGCCAGGAGGCAGCGGCGGAGCCGGCGGCGGCGGCGGCGGCGGCGGCGGCGGCGGCGGCCGCGGAGCCAGAGGCGGCCGAGCCAGAGGCGGCCGAGCCAGCGGCGCCATCGAGCCAGCGAGGCGGTGCGATCGAGGCGGCGCCTGCGGGCCCGGCGCCGTGGTCGCGGGCCGAGGAGCAGCACCTTAGCGAGGCGATCCGCGAGTCCATGCCCGCGATCCACGCGCGCTTCGCCGCAAAGGAAGGCGGCAGCACCGCCCGCTCGGCTGAGGAGCTAATGGGTCGCTTCGTCGCGGCCGCGCGCTGGCAACGCGCTGAGGCGGCCGCGCGCTGAGTCGGCCGGGGGGCAGGGGCAGGGCGCGGCGTGGATCTGGAGAGTTGATCTGGAGAGTTGGATGAGAGACAACGAGACGGCTTGTATGCTCGTGCGGGTGGTGCTAGTGGGGGTGGGGCGTGGGGGTCAGGTGAGAGCAGGTATTCGACGGGGGAGGGAGCGCCATCGCGAGGGGAGGGGGGCTGGTGCGCCGAAATCTAGCGGTGTGAGGAGTTCCGCTGTACAATTCTTTTCTTTGCGCTGGTGAGTGGTGTGAACCGTGGTAAAAAACAAACAAAACAGACAACCCAAACGAGGGATTAGGGGAGGAGGACAGGGTCCCCACCTGCACGAGCAGGATTTTTGGCAGGTGTGTTAGTGTCTCGGACCGATTTTTTCTTCCGTCCTACGGCAGGGACTATCGCTACGCCAGGGAAGATAAGGACGTTGACGTGCAGCTGCTGCTGTTCGAGTCGTTCGGCGGGTTCGGGAATGGGGTCCGTGAGATCCTCCGGAAGGCGGCGGACGTGCTACAGAACAAGCTGACGCGGGCCCAGTACCTCGATGAGGTGACTTGGACCACTAAGAATTGGCTGGGGCTGCAGAAGCAGCGTATCTCGGTCGTTCTTCACATGGCAATCGCAGAGCAGGTTGTGAATGAGCTTGCCTGTGGCGGGGGTGGGCGGGTGCACGGAGCTAAGTGCCTCGCCGCCCTCGCAGGAGTCGCTTAGGCGGCTCCCGTGGTGTACCTGTGTTAGTGCCAGTGCGCGCCAGTCCCGTGCCCAGTGTTGTGCGAGGGAGCTTTGTTGTAAAATTCTTTCGGGCTCCACAACTCGGCGCAGGCATTTTGGGCTCCGCGTCCAGTTTTGGGGATCTGACAAGGGCCCGCGGCTGCCCAGAGGTAAAGGTAAGAGGGCCGCAGGCCCTCAGAGGTAGAGGTAACCTAGACCCCTCCTACTCGGCCCTCAGAGCCGACGCCATGCATGTTATGACTGCATTCATGCGCCTGGTTCATGAGCAGGAATACGATATGGGAAGGCCTGGACATATTTGACGGCGACGGCCCTCTTGGTTCTGAGGAAGCCGTCGCCCGCGCCTTGTCTGTCGTGTGAATCGCGTGCTGTGGCGAAAAGAAAGTGTTTTTCGACGCAAGCGAATTCGGTTCCGACAATACCGTATACGTGCACGAGAACCAAACACATGCACGACAGTACCGTGCGCCAATGCTCTCTTCTCAACAGAACGACGTCGGAGAGCGTGAGCGCGCCGGCGTGAGATAGTTAACACCCCCATGCAGAGAGTGCAAGAGCCCATGGGCGAGGCGCGCCGGCGCGCCACCGAGTGCCAACCTCAGGGATGGAGAGGCCGCGCGTCTCCGCCTCCCCCCCGAGGGCGGCGCCTCACCTCGGCGCAGACCCCCTCGCGCTGCTCCAGCTGCAGGCCGTGCGCTGCCACTTGGCCTAACTCATCATCGATGGGGGTAACTGTTGAGTGGTGGTTAGTTACCACACGCCGAGCGCTGCCACTGGGCCTCGTCGCCGCCGCACGCCCCGTCCGCCCCGCGGCTTCCCCACCCCTCGGCGCCTCCTCCCCCTCCCCCTCCCCCTCCTCCGCCGTCGCCGCCTCCTCCGCCGCTACCTCCACCTCCGCCTCCGCCGCCGCAGCTGATTGGCTCGCCGCTCTCGCCGACCGCCTCGCTCGGCCTGCGCGGCGATGGGTCTCCGACGAGCCTCGCCTGGCGTGTCGAAGAGTTGAGCAATGAAGCGCGCTGCTTCGTGAGTTGCACGAAATCTCCGACGAGCCTCGCCTCTCCCGACCGGCGCTGGATCGGCCGCATAGACGGCGAGTACTGCAGCTCGGCGAGGTTCGAGAGCGAGGAGGAGCCCGCGAGCCCGTCTAGTCCGTCATCACTTGCCGGTATAATAATGACACCGAGTGCGCCCCGGCCGAGCCCGTGTCGCGCCTTCGCCTCTGGAGGTGCGCATGGCCGACAGCACCTAATGAGCAGTGAGCAGCCACTAGTCACTGTCATTAGTTGGCTCTCTCCCACTGCGCACGACCGGCAGCACCTCAGCGCCGCCCGGCCCCGACGCGGTGGTGGCGAGGCCGGCGGCGATGTCGAAGTGCGTGTACTTGAAGCCGGAGTGGGAGCGGCGCCACGTCGATGGAGGGCAGGTCGTGGCTCTCCACCTGGTCACAGCAGCCGATGATCAAGCGAGGAGCGACTTTTTGCGCAGCGGCGCCGCCAGGCGCCCGCCCCGGCGGTGAGCGACGCGTAGCGAGCGAATCGCCGGGGTGGGCGCCTGGCGGCTCCGCGGAGCTCCTTTGGCTCGGCGCGGGCGGGGGCGCGAGTAAAAAGAAATTTAGGGGTGTCTCCCAGGCCTCGCCTGCGCTCGGCGAAGGCCGCGAAAGATACTGTGCCGTACTTAAGTCTGTGCAGCTGTGAACAGCAGCTCCTGAGCACGGCGCCGCAGGCGCCTGTTGATAGGTCCAGGTGATAGCCCTGGATGGGCAATGCATACGCCTCACTGGGCCTCAGATCGCCCGACCGCGTCCCGGTGCTCTGTGGTCGGATTTGTGACGCCGCCGCACCGCGCCGCGGCCGGGGGCCCTCCGGAGGCCGAGGATGGCCGTGGCAGACCGGGACGAGCTCTGGGAGGTGAAGTGTCAGTGTATATATTGTAGAGACTGACCATGTGCACAATATCTCTCAGTCTAGCTAAGCCAGGGGAGGCGATGCCGGGGCCGTACAGCAGCTTGATGGTGCTTCGCCGGCGTGCGTCCCGGAGCGGTCCGGACGGTCGGTCCGGGGGACAAAATCGCGGGACAGCGCCGACACCGCTCTGATTCGACTTTTTACTTCAAACAAAGACAGTGGCACGCGCCGCAACTTCAAACAAAGACAGTGGCACGCGCCGCAGCGCGGCGCGTGCCACTGTCAGGAGCGGATCCGTCAGTTAGTCGTGCTCACGCCGGGATCGTGTCCCTGACAAGCTGCACAGACTTTCGTACGGCACAGTATAGAATGCCAAATCGCTGCTGCGTCGGGATGCGGGTAGCTCGCGAGAAGCCGTTCAAGCCCGGCCATCCTCACCCCCCAAGCAGCTGCGGCCGCAATTTCAGCCGGTCCCGTGACCGCCCCGACCCGGCAGGCGCGCGTTCGAGCGAGGCCGTTCCGCAGAGCACACCGAGAGGGGCCGGTCGCGCGCAGCGCCAGGATGCGGCCGCCGCATGCAGCCTCCGCGGAGGCTGCATGCGGCGGCCACTTCCCGTCGGTCTTTCGCCGCGCTCCGGCCGCTCCTTCAGGCGAGGCCCTGGCCACCAAACTCCGGGAACGGGCAGCAGCGCGACGCTTTTCGAGAGCGAGCGGCGGCGGCGGCTCAGCACCAACCTTTGCAACGCAGGGGCTGGCCGCGTGGGCCCCCACCACCGGACTGCGTCGGGCTCGCGTCTCCCTGCCCGCGCGGGAGCTGAGGGGAGCGCAGTGTGTGTGTGTGTGTGTGTGTGTGTGTGTGTGTGTGTGTGTGTGTGTGTGTGTGTGTGTGTGTGTGTGTGTGTGTGTGTGTGTGTGTGTGTGTGTGTGTGTGTGTGTGTGTGTGTGTGGATGTGTCTGTGTCCCTGTCGTGTCGTGTGTGTGTCGTGTGTTTAACTCTCGCACTAGCTCTCGCCCTCTCGCAAGCCTGGCGCCCTGGCCTCCGCCCTAACCGCCCGGCGGCCCGCACGCTCGACAGAACCCGGACGACGTGCGTGTTTCCTTCTCTACGAAAACACACACTCCCAAGTCAGCGCCATCGAGCAGCCATCGAGAACAACAAGACTTTGGCGAGCCAACGCAGCCGAGAGATAAAATCTTCGCAAGAGGAGAGCCAGGCCGCACAGCGCGAACTCGGTACTCGCCGTACTGAGCCTAGCGCAGCGCGAACTCGCCGTCTGAGCCTAGCGCAGCGCGAACTCGCTCCTGTCGCTGCGCAACCCTAGCCGAGCTCCATTTTTCGAAGGAGTGAGGGAGGGAAGGTCGTGGCACTCCACCTGGTCACAGCAGCCGATGATCAAGCGAGGAGCGACTCTTTCGAAGGAGTGAGGGAGGGACTTGGTCGTGCTCGGCTACGCCTACGGCATCTACGGTTCCGACGGCTACGGTTCCGACTCCGGCTCCGGCTGGTAGTCGACAAGCTGCCGAGCCCAAATCCTGCACATTTCTTGTTGGCTTCTAAAAATCTCTCTCTCGGCACGCCGAGAGCATGACAGCTCCGCGTCGGGCCTCGTCGGGCCCAGCGCGCTCGGCGCGTACATCTGCGACGTTGGTGGTCCGGATTCTCAACGTCGCAGTGGTCCTGGGCATCGTGCCGATCGCTGCCGCCGCCAGCACCTGCGAGGCCACCCTGGTCGCCCAGCACAGCAAGAAGCCGTGCCGCCCTGGGATATCCTTCGGTTGCAGCGAGGATAGCCGGAGCATTTGGACGAAGAACTGCCGCGGAGAATTTAGGTGCGGCGCCGAGTCGCCGTCCTTCTTCTGCGGCTATCCTCCGGGTCAAGACTCCTACAGATGTAGCTGCGATGGACACTATCTCAGGAAGCCAGCCCTGCGCAGGAAGCCAGCCCGACAGGAAGCAGGGCTGGCGACCGCGACAAGCAAGCGCCCCTCTTGCGCCGTCGAGCTTGTGGAGCAGACGAGCCGGACGCGGTGCATACTTGGCCGGAGCTTTGGGTGCCTTGACAACAGCACGATATGGGTCAAAAATTGTCGTGGGAGCTTCCGCTGCTCGACGACTCTCGACGCATTTGACTGTGGGTACCCACCTGGCGATGCACTGTATCACTGCAGCTGCAATGCTGAAGGCATGCCGGCTCAGACCCAAAACGCCTATAGGCAGACGGACTTGATGAAAAGTCAGCACCATGGATGCCGTACAGTTAGGCCGCACAGTACGTTGAAGAATTGCCACGCGCCTGAGAGGCAGCCTATAGATGTGCAAGGCATCGTCCCACACTGGCATCTGGCAGGAAAGGCACTGGGCTTTGATCTGGATGTCTCGGCCATTACTTCTTATCTTGGCGGGGGGGGAGCAGGGCCAGGAGCCTATGAAGTTCCCTTGTTCGATCAGGCGAACAGACGAAGACATTTTCTCTGCACGGCTACTTGGCGAGGAAGGATGCTGGTGTACGTTGAAATATTCAAGGTCAACACTTTAGGGTTTTGTGGCAATCTAGCAAAGCTGGACGACAAGTCGAACGCTACCGGCCGGCGGCCGTTTGTGTTCACCTTTGTGCGTGACCCGTTTACGCATTTCATCTCGGCGTATTCAGACTACAACTTCAAGGCCGCTCCCAGAATCAAACAGGACGAGGAGATGATGCAACGCTGTCCCCAGACTCACCTTCAATGGCCTGTCCATTCACTGAATCGAGCACAGGCTTACATTCGCGACTATGTTTCTGGCGCCTTCAACGCATCAGCACGATGCTTCGTTCACTTGACAAACCTAGATATGTTGCCGCAGAGCGCCTTTCTCGTGGCTGCCCTAAACAGTCCGGTGGAACATGTTGCAGGGTTTGATTTCATTGGACGTTTGGAGAACGCCTCCCGGGACTGGGACCGATTGGGCCGTAAAGTAGTCGGAGCGACCAAACCACCTGTGTGGCCAGCATTCGAGGAGCACGTTTATGGATTCGGAGAATGCCGAGGCTGCCGTCGCTACTACACGGCGAAGTCCTCGCACGTGCACTCAAATGCGGCTGCTGGCTCACCGGCACGTCTGGCAATGCAAACGCTTTTGAATGTGACGGCACAACCACCATCGACGCCATACGTTGTTGCAATGTGCCGGGTGTTGCTGTACGACTTTGTTTGCTTCGGATACTCACTGCCAGCACCTTGCAGAACCCTAGATCTAAATGGACTGTCCTGCCCATTCACAGCGTACATTGTCAACACATAGAACGAATGGCAACCCGTCTCCTTTCTCCTTCGCGTGTGCTCTCTTTCTTCCGGAGAACGAATTACGGTGAATGAATTTCGGACCCCTGCCTGTGCTCGAGTACTCTACACGTACAGTTTGTTCTTAGACGTCTGCACGCGACATATACGTACACACACAAGGGTTGGCCTGCTGAGGAGCCCACCCAGTGTAAAAGAATTTACAGTGTAAAAGAAAAACCCCTCGGCGACAGAATCGACCCCCCAGGTCACAGCAGCCGATGATCAAGCGAGGAGCGACTCTTTCGAAGGAGTGAGGGAGTCTTTACTTCCAACACCCGGACGTTCCCAGGGTGATGGAAGGTTCGACGCACCCCCGGACTGGGAAGAGAGGTCCCAGGAGCACGCTCCTGGGCTGTCCGCCCCGCCCCCACTTGCCCTGACTGCACAGGATAGCGTGCCCCGACAAACGGCGACACATAGCGGGGGGCACTGCGCCGGGGGGTATGCCTAACTTTGGTGCTTTGTGTGGGTCGCGTTCCCTTGGTAGCTGTGTGGCTGAAGCCCTCGTGCCGCTGGCTTGCCCCTTCCAGCGGCTGGCCCCTCGAGACTGTCGGTGCTTGGGAGAGGGAGGCCCGGTGGGAGGAGAGGGAGAGGGAGGCCCGGTGGGAGGGGAGGGAGAGGGAGGCCGCCTTGGGCTCTTCTCCTCCCCCCTCCCTGGGCTCTTCTCCTCTCCCCACCCTGGGCTCTTCTCCCCTCTCCTGCCTGGTACTCACGGCCTGATTACCGGAGCGTCTGCTCTCAAGCAGACGCTGGGGGGACACTCACGCCCGGAGGCGGTACGCACGACCCGGAGGCGTGGGGATGGGGGGGCGCCGCGCCGCCGCCGCCGTGCCGCCTTCTCCCGCTTTGATCTCCCTCAGCTGCTTCTCCGAGCTTTTGGCTCCCGGTTCGGAACTCGCGTGGAGGGTTGCTTAGGCAAGGCGAGGCGGGCGGCGGCGGCGCGCGATCGTTCCTTTTGCCCGGGTGAGGCGTGGCGAGCCGTCGCGCGGTGATGACTCCGCAGCCACGCGGAGAAGCTCTTGGTGACCCACCGCGGTGGCAGCGATGCCAGCGAGCCAGAGCAACTGAGCAAGCCGACCTGCCGCATGACGGGTGGACCTCGAAAAAGAATTTGTCGAAGGCCCATTAAAAATCGCTGGCTCTCTAAAGACTAAACACAAACCTGCCGGCATGTTGACTGTGGTACTTTACTGCCATCTCACGATCTCAGTCATCGGTGCTCTTCATCGCCCTTTCCCCGCTTGCCGGAGCGCCGACACCCCCCCCCCCCCGACTCAGAGCTTGACGCCGTACTTGGTCGCAACCTCGCGCGCTGGCTCGTCTCCACCGCTGGTGGCAACTGCAGCGCGCAGCACGTTGGTCGCCGCTGTCGACTCGGCCTTTCCCTGGAACATCCAGAGCAACTCAAAACGACGCACAGACGCCAGCCGGCCGAGGAATGCGGCGGCGGCAACGGCGTCGCGTGGCAGCATGACGCGCTCGGCGGCAAGTACAAAGGCAGAGAGGGTCTCCTCGGACATGGCGTCGCCGACAAAGGCGGCGAGCCCGCGCGCATCGCGCGGGAGCTGGCCGAGGTACGCGGCGAGGTCGGTGTCGCGCTGGGACGAGGCCTTGCCGCGAGCCCACAGCTGCAGGAAGGAGCGCTCAAAGGCCGAGTAGCCGAGAGACAGCAGCTCGTCCGGCCCGGCCTGCGTGGCCGGCGCCAGCTCCGCGACGCGCTTGGCAGTCTGCACCGCCTTGGCCAAGTCGACCTTGCCGCGCGCCTTGTCGCCGCCGGCCGCCCACGGCGCCGGCTTCCCCGCCTCCGGCGCAGACGAGGCGGGCGAAGGGAGGGGAGACACCTCCTCGATCCCCGCCGGGACGCAGTCGAGGGCCTTTCGCGCCTCGGCCAGTTGGCGGCGAAGGTCGCGCGCCTCGTCGGGCGAGGCATGTGGCAGGCCGGCGGCAAATGCGTCGCACGCCGCCGACAGGTTGCCCTTCGCGCGCTGAGCGGCACCGAGACGGAACCAGCCCTTGGCGAAGGAGGGGGCCAGCTCCGTGCACCGCTTGGCGGCGGTGACAGCGTGAGCCGGTTCCTGCGGCCGGGTCGGGAGGGGGCGGGGCTCAAGGGCGGCGGGGCCCGGGATGGGCGGCTGGGTTGCGGCTCGGGGCGGCCTTGAGATGGTCGATACAGCGGCAGTGGCGGAGGCCGTGGGGGGAGAGGCGGTGGAGGAGGCGGCGACGGCGGAGGAGGCGGGAGCGGCGGTGGGGGCAGTGGCGGAGACGGAGGCAGCGGAGGAAGGGGCGGCAGGCGGGAGCGGTGAGGCGGCGCGATCGGAGGTGTGATGCCGGTGGCGAGGGCGAGGGTGCGGGACAGGGTGGCGAGTCGCCTCAAGCTTGAGGAGCGCGAGCGCGAGGTTGGAGAAGTGGGTGTGCACCAGCGGCTCGTGCTTTGCAGCCTCGTAGTACGCCTCGGCGGCAGCCTTGAACTCGCCACGCCGAAACGCAGCGCCACCCCGCTCGCGCGCGGCCGCCGCCTTCGCCTTCGCCGCCGCTTGATCGTCCTCGGTCGTGAGCGAGGGCGCGGCCGCGGCGGCGGCATCCGCCTCGCCGCTGCCAGACGGCGCAACGGGGGTCGGAGCAGCCGCCGCATCCCGGCCCTGCGAATCCTCCGCACGCTGCTGCTCCACGAGCCGGTTGAGCCTCGTGCAAGAAGCGGAGACCTCAGCGCTTGCGGCTCCAAGAGCCTGGAGGGCGCGGCAATCCTCCAGCGCGCCGGCGTAGCGCTCGAGCGCCTCGCGAGCGACTGCCCGCCGGTGAAGCGCCTAGAGAAGGTTCCTAGAGGGTCCCTAGAAGGTTCCTAGAAGGTTCTGCTCTGCCCGCCGGTGAAACGCCTTGACGTTGCGAGGCTCGAACGCGAGCACGGCGTCGCAGTCGGCGACCGCCTCGGAGAAGCGGCGCAGCTGCAGCTGGCACGCAGCGCGGTTGTTGAGGCAGCGCGCGCGCAGCTTGTCGTCCGAGCGAGAGCCTCCGCCCGGGGTGGTGGAGAGCGTGTCGAGGGCCGCAGAGTAGCTGTCGGCAGCCGCGTCGTACGCCCCCGCCGCAAAGAGCTTCTTCGCCGCGTCGCACTGCGCCTCAGACTGAGCCGAGGCGGCCGCTGCAGCCGCTGCAGCCGCTGCCGTGGCGGCGGCAAGGCCGGGGGCAGCGGTGCCCGACACGGCAGCGGCGGCCTCCTCCTCCTCCTCCTCCTCCTCCTCCACCTCGGCGATGGGTAGCCTCTTCATCACCGGCGCTGCGGCGCTCAAGGCCCGTCCGGGAAGCGCCTCCGCCGCGCCGCCGGCCTCCTCGCCCGCCGCCCCGGCCTCCTCGCCCCCCACCCCGGCCGCCTCCTCGGCCGCCTCCTCGTCGCTGCTCTCCTCCTCCACTGGGATCGAGCGCATCCGGCCGCCAGCCTGCGGGACACCCTCCTCGTCCTCGTCGCTCTCCTCCTCGACTACCAGCCTGCGCGTCCCGGGGCCGCGTCCAGCCTCGGCGCCGGCCGGCGGCGGACGGCCCTTCGGCGGCCGGCCCTTCCGCCGCCCTCCCCGGCGCCGCTTTGGCGGTTGCGGCCTTCCCGGCCACCGGCCTTTTTGCCGCCTTTTGCTCCGCCCCCCAACCCGCCGGGCCTGCCCGCCGCTGTCATAGAGAAGGACCCGCACCTCCACTTTGCGCACGGCGGTCGCGCCGACTTTCGTGGTCGCCACGGCATCTACTACGCCTTCTTCTCTGCGCCAGGCCTCGCCGTCAACCTCAAGATGGAGAACGCCACTTTCCCACTGCAACGCGGTGCGGAAAACGGGGGCGGTGCGGCCAGCGGCGGCGGCACAGCACTCATCGTCGACGGCACCTTCATAACAGAGGTGCACCTCGTGGCTCTCGTTGGCCACAGTGGCACGGGCGACGCCGCTGCAGGGATGGGCGCAGGCTCCTCATCGCCACGGCGGAAGTGGCTCAACGTCTCGTACTGGGCGGCCGAGCTAAACGAAAACAACTGGGGATGGACGATCGTGACGGGCTACTGCGGCGGCCGGCTCTTCAAGATTGGGAAGGGCGGGCAGAAGGTGTGCGAGGACGTCACGGTCAGCGTTAGGATGACGACTGGCATCATCTCGTCGGTAGACTGGACGGTCACCGTCCAGGGGTCACCCACGCACGCGACCCGCGGCCCAACGCATCGAGCCGACGTTGGCTTGAGCGCCAACGGCGAGTACACATCGCGCAGCCTGCCGCATGGAATCTTTGGCCAGTCCTTCTCAGCCCTAGGGCCTCTCAACGGCAAGCGGGACGGGTACCCGCGCGACGGCCCCCTCTACAACGAGCGCAATGGCCCCTTCATGACGAGTGCCATGGCGGAGGGCGCGATTGAGGGGAAGGCCGCCGACTACGAGCTGCCGAGTGCCTTTGCCACGCGCTTTGCGTTCTCTCGCTTCGACGAGTCGTTGCTGCCGCCGTCGACAGACGGTTTGGCGGTTGGTGTCGGCTCGACGGCCGGCGTGGTTGTCGAGGCGTCGGCCGGGGCGGAGGGCGAGGACCCTCTCGAGGTCGATCGCCCTCCCGAGAGATGATAACCTCATCACCCGCAAGCAGGACGGCTCTACGTAGTACTGTACTTTGCGCCATCGGACTCTCTCAGTGTCATGGGCGCTGTCTACTGCTTGAGAGTGTGGTTGTGCACAGCCTAGCACAGACCTCTATTCCCAAGACTCCATGTCCATATCTCCCCTGCTCTCTCTCTCTCTCTCTCTCTCTCTCTCTCTCTCTCTCTCTCTCTCGCTCGCTCGCTCGCTCGCTCGCTCGCTCTCTAGTCTCTCGCTGCTCTCCCCTCGTCTTCGTCGACAACACAAGCAAAATCGATTTGAATGCGTGTTTCGGTTGAACTTCTCTTTTTGCGCGCACAGCGAAGAGCGGATGTTGAGACATGAGAGACTTGAGAGTAACACAGCGAGACAGGCGCGCCGCCCACAATTGAGAGCACATATACATGTGCAAGTAGCTCTCAGGGACGCATCGTACCATCGAAGCTTGCATCAGTGCAGTGCTAGTACGCACAGCTCGACGCGTACTCGAATGCTGCCACTTGGCTGTCATTCTAGCCGGCGAGCGGCGCGTCACAGCACGTCGACTCTCGCATCGCGATGAGACGCACGACGCACTGGCCACTCTCTTGCTGCTCTTGTGCCCCCATGCACTCGCAGACCCACGGTCCACGTGGCTGGACCCCCACCCAGACGCGCGCTCCTGAGTCCTGTGGTGGGCAGGAGGAAGGCCAGCGACCGGTGTGCATCTCTGGCCGGTAGCCCGTAGCCGGGAGGTTTCTTTCTAGGTTTTCTGGAAGAAAGAGGCGCGACAATATATGGCCCACTTAGGCACACGTTCAGTCGACACCTGTCCCGCCGTCATCCTTTCACCACGCCCTTGCGTAGCGGTCGGGAGGCGTGATGAGGAAGCTCTTCGTCTTCGGCGGAGGCCAGCCAAAGTGGCACTGCAGCGGGCCGCCTCGCAGCGACTCGCACAGCGCGTCGCGCGCCTCGCCCGCCGGGGTGAAGGGGTTGCCGCCCACGTACAGAAACTCGCCTGCGGAGAGCGTGTCAGCGGACGTGGGGAAGAGGATGGTTGCGCCCGTGGCTGCGAGCGCTGAGGCCGCCGAGTGGCTTGCGGGGGGCTTTGGGGAGGCGCGCTTTGGGGTGTTGGGAGGGGAGGGGCTGGGGGGGGGCAGCGGCTGCAGCGCACCACCCTTCATCGCGCCCGCCCGCAGCGCGGCGGCGAGCGCTTCGAGGGCGCCATCGCCGAGGCGATTGGCCTGGAGGCCGAGGCGGCGCAGCTTGGGGCATGCGCCTCCCCGCAGCGCCTCGGCCAGGGCCGTCGCGCCCGCGTCTCCGACCTCATTCTCGCCCAGGTACAGCAGCTCCAACGCTGGCAGAGCCCCGCCGGCTAGCGCGGCGGCGAGCGACGCGGCGCCGTCGTCGCCGACGCGGTTACGCTGCAGCGAGAGGTGCTTGAGCGCGCCGCCACCGCCCCCATTGCCGGTGCACATCGCGAACGCCGCCATCGCCGCGCCGTCGAGCTCGTTGTCGGCGAGCCAGAGCGTCTCCAGCGCCGGTGCGGCGGGCAGCGCGGCGAGGAGCGCGGCGAGACTGCCGCCGCGCAGCGCGTTGCCGCCGAGGTGGATCGACTTTAACGACGCGGGCGCCGCCTTGGTGAGCGCGAGCCCAAGCGAGCGCACGTCTTCGTCGTCGAGCGCGGAATCGGACGCGTGAAAGCAGGCGTCGTGAGCGAGGGCGTCCTCCGCGTCGTACGCACCGAGCTCGAGGGTGGGCAGGTGGCGCGAGTAGGCGGCAGGACGGGAGAGCTTGCGCCAGAGGTCGGACAAAGGGTCAGCCGAGGCCGACGCCAAGGGCCCTTCGCTGTTAGTGGGCATCGGCGATAAATGTGTACGCCGGATTTCTTTTGAGCTTAGCCTTCGATGTTATGAAACCTACCTATGAAAACAAACGCAAGGCGGACATGGCATATCGCTCTCGGGCTCACAGACATCCCTCACACCCGCGCACACCATTTCTTTTTGACCACACTCCTCGATAATCCGTGTTATCCTCCAGATGAGAAGTGTCTAACAGGCGCAGATCTACCTTGCAGAGAGGCAGGCAGAGAGGCTGCTGAGCGAGGCGCGCCGGGAGGCGCGCCGTATTGCCGAGGTTGCCCACGCGCCCGCAGAGGAGGTGCAGATGGTGATCGCGCAGCACCAAAGAAGAGTGAGGCGCCTCACAGGCCACATGAAATCACGAAAACGCACACAGTGAGTGTGGTCCCATTGTACGCTGGGCTGACGCCCTTGCGCCTGTGTAATACGTATCATACAGTACACTCTTAAATAGTTTCTCTGGTAGAGGTACGAGAGAGTCGAGAGAGCCGGCGCGAATTCGCGAGTCAGACGCCCAGACCCACACCCAAAATTACAGCAGGGCCGGGGGAGAGGACGCGGGAATCTCGGGATTTAAGTATCGCGGTAAGTTTACACACAAAAGCGTTTGATAACAAAAAATACGTCGCATCAATCTCCTCTCGCCAGGGCTTTGCATTTGCGCTGGAACAGGACTGTGCACGCGACGCCGAGTGCGAATGCGATCGAGATGGACTCGAACGTGAAGCTGTGCGCGAGTATGGTGGGCGAGCCAGCCTGCAGGCGAGGCGGCCCCAAGGGTGGAGGGTTGGGGCTGCAATGCTAGCTGGAAGGGCGGTGGGAGTGGGAAGCCTGGTCGAGCTTGCCCAGGTTCATGAAGCCGAGAGTGTTCGACTCCTTGATGTAGCTCACCTAAACGAGGGCATCCGCTTCTGTACAGAGAGAGAGTGAGGGCCACCTGCCGACCCACCGCCGTCCCGCCGCGCACCCACCCCTCGGCAGTCTCAACCTTGGAGCCCGACTTGAAGGTCACCGTCACCTGAGGCAAGAGAGAGGACGGTCGCGCGCGCCTGCGCGGTGGCCTCGCGTGCGGCGGCCACCTCGTCCTCTGGTCGCTCCATGTCACCGCCGAACGTGAAGCCCTTGCAGTCTGCGTGCGAGTTGCACCACGCCTTGGCGCTGTCGACATCCATCGTCTCCATGAACACATTCTCCGAGCCGGCAATGTACCCGCGGACCACAAGGTAAGACTTGGCGATGTCCTCCTCCAGCTCATCCTCGAGCGCCTGCAGCCGCTGCTTGAGCGCCTCTGTCTCTGCAGCGGCGCTATCCGTTTCACCCTCCGGCTCCTCCACCGGCGCGACGAGCACCGACGGCAGCAGCGCCAGGCTCGCCAGGAGCCGAGAAGTTGTGGTCAGCATGGCTGCCGGCGCCATGAAAACATCGAAGTATAGCTCAAAAGAAAACGATGGCATATGCCATGTCCCGCCTTGCGTTGTTTCCTAACATCGAAGGCTAAGCTCAAAAGAAAACAAACGGCACGGGGAATACCTAGCCGCCGCTCGCCGCTCGCTCGCACGCTCGCGCACGACCTTCTACTTCCTCGTGATCCACCCGCCGCCACCCTCGCCTCGCCCTCCCGCCAACTAGCCGCTCGCCCGCTCCTATCCGTGCCACGCCTATCCGTGATCCTGCCGTTACCGCGCCGTCCTTGCTCCTTCCTGCCGTGCCGCTCCTTCCTCCGTGCCGCGCCGCCCTTGCCGTTAGTCCGCCGCCCCCTGCCGTCCGTTACCGCCGTGCCGCCGTACCGCCGCTCCTACAGTGCCGTTTGTCCCGCCGTCCGATGCCCTGCCTGCCGTCTGTTGCCGCCGCGCCGCCTTACCGCCGACCCTTACCGTGCCGCGCCGCTACACACACATCTGACTTCTTGCTCGACCGAGTTTGCGTTGTCCGTTGAGGAGCGAACCGAGCCGCCGGTGTGTCGACAGAAAGTCGGCCCGCGAGTGCTCCGCAGCAGCCTCGCTGGGCCAGAACGTCGGCCCGCGAGGTGGATGCTAGCATGAGCCCGATGCGTCGCAGTGCTCTTGCGTTTCGGCGGTAGTGATCTAATCACCCGAATGCCACGTTCGGATCGCTCCTCATCGCAAACCCCGTCAGCACTCAGCAGTCCTCCTCCAGGAATGTACGTAAGAGCTACATACACTGAGAGAGAGAGGAACGCCGTGCAAAGCTCGCTTCCGAGCTCTCACGCCGCCATGAAAAAAGAAAAAGATACGCACAACCCCGGGCCCCGATATTCTTACGACGTCGTGTCTCTCTGTGCCAAAACTTGCGCGTGTCTCTCTGTGCTGCGGGCAGCAAGACCGTCCGATGGGCGAGTCTTTTGGTGGCAGCCCGTTCGGTGGCATCCCCACCACCACCGTGCAGAACAACACCCTCAGCATTGCTGTGCCGAGGATCAATGTCACCCGACGCGGCACCTGGCTGTGGTGCCCTGCCCGGCTGCAACGGCTGTCGTGCATCAGCGGATTCCAAATACGCCCCGGCCCTGTGCCGGTGCATCACATGCAGCTGCAGTTTTGCAAGTTGCCCAGAAACCCCACGAGTTGCTTCGCGGAGACTTCGCTCCCGCTGCAGGTCTGCCACAGCAGGTACGACGGCTCCGATTTTGAGCAGCCACATCAGTTGCGGAGTGGAAGGCAGCTTCCGGTAGGTCCTGGGAGCGCTTGGGAATACGTGATGCTTAACGTGCACTACGACGGCATCACTGGGCCAGCAGCACAGCGGCTCGACAACACAACGGTCGACATTTTCTTGGAGGAGTGCACCTCTCATGGGCCGTACTATGATCGGGCAATGCTGCAGACATACAACTTTTCCGTCCAAGCGCGGGGGCGGTCTTCCGTCGTACCTTCTGTCTCGTCCATGCATCGCTATCGGAGGGATCTGGGCGGCGGTACGTTCCGGATATGGGGGCTGGAGCCTCACTATCACAAGCACGGCACGTGGTCACGGGTGGTGGTGACAAGTGCGGCGGGCCATGTGAAATTCGCGCTGACAATGAAGACGGCTGATTATCTGTACCCGGTGGACGACTTTCCAGAGCTGGAGGACGGCGACCTCTTCAACGTCACGTGCGTGTACGGTCGGGCTTTCACGGGCGTCGTGCCGTCGGGACTCGACTTTGCAAGCAATGAGATGTGCGAGCTATTTGTGCATGCCGACCGCAGCGAGATGCACTCGTCCCTCGGGCCAGCCTTTGATGTGGTCAGCAGCTCAGAGGGGGGGTCTGTGCAGTCGCAGGACCCATTGCCGGGCCCCGTTACTGTCGAGAAGCACGGATCCCGGGACGCACCGCCCATCCGCCGCGAGCAGGTTGCGGCGCTGTGCGAAAAGCTGAAGGACGTAGTGCCGGCTCTGAAAGCGCCCTGCGAAAGGTTGAGCGGAGGCGCTGGTGGCGCGGGCAGTTAGGACAGCGTACTATCTGACAGAAGAGGTCCTCCACACACACAAACACACACACACACACACACACACACACACACACACACACACACACACACACACACACACACACACACACACACACACACACACACACACACACACACACACACACACACACCACACCCGCCGGCCGAATTCTTTTTTCGAGCGTGTCTTGCAGAGCTGGAGCACGGCGGCAGCGCACAAGCACAACGATGGAACATAGCGCCGGCACCCCAGCGTAGAGGGCGTCGTGTAGCCCTCCTTTTGGTATATTAGCCAGCACTGAGCATGAGCCTCGTTGCTGCGTGCCTCCGTGGCGACGTGGAGACGCTCTCCGACCTGCTGGCGGCCGGTGAGCCGCTCGAGGCCAGGTGCGAGGAGGGTTTCACCGCTCTCTACACTGCGGCCGCCGAGGACGATCCCGATGCGGTGCGTTGCCTGATCGAGGCCGGCGCAGCCGTGAGTGTGGGAGGCTCGCCGCAGGGCGCCACACCGCTGATGGTCGCATCGGAAAACGGCCACCTCGAGTGCGTGCGAATGCTGATCGAAGCCGGAGCCGACCTGGACATGCACGTGTCGTGCGATGCGCAGCCAGACTTTGATCCATCCGCCGAGGACGATCACGCCGAGTGGATCCCGCCACCACTCGTCCTCGCGGCCGGAAACGGCCACCAAGATTGCGTCCGCATCTTGATCAGAGCAGGCGCGGACCTCAACATCAAGTTTGGCCCCTGCCGAAACAGCCCGCTGCACGAGCTCTGCGCTGCCGGGCGCGTGCAGATGGCGCGGACGCTGCTCGACGCAGACGCGGATCCGAGCGCGGAGGATGTGGATGGGCGGTCGGTGCTCTTCGTCAGCTGCATGTGCGATCAGCCAGAGTGCGCCGCTCTTGTCCTGGCCGCCGGCGCAGGCATCGATCAGCCCATGCGCGAGCCAAACCCGGGCGCAACGCCGCTCTACGTGGCCGCCATGTGTGGCCACGAGCGGTGCGTCCGCCTGCTCTGCGAGAACGGCTGCCCACCCCCTCAGCGGGGAGGCCCGTGTAGCACTCCTGCTTGATCGGCCGCACGCGTCTCGTTTAGGCGCACGCATCAACGCGCGGGCGGCGCGCGGCGCCACGCCCATGTTTGCGAGTTGCCAAGAGGGCCACTTGCGCGTGGTCATGCTTCTCTCCTCGTACGGCGCCGCCCGGACGGGCCGCTGGACGTCCGACAACGGCGAGCAGCTCACGAAGCGGGCCGACATGTTTGCTACCGACCACGGACACGACGAGGTGGTTCGCTGGCTGGAGGCGTCGGCCTCGTACTCGCCGCTGCACCACGTGGAGGTGCTCACCGGGCGGCGGACGGTCGAGCTGCTCCGCGGCGACGCTTGCGCGTCCTACAACCTCCGGAGCGGCCGCTCGATTCGACCCCTGCGCCCGCGCGCGCCGTTCCGGCCGCCGTGTGCGCCGCCCCGCACCGAGACGCCGTACGAGCTGGCGCTCGCGTGGCCCAACCTTCCGGCCTCGCAGCTCATCCTCGCCGCCGCATCTCCGTGGAGCCCCGCCTCGCACAGGCTGTGGGAGCCGTGGTTCCGGGAGCGTGCGACCGTCCTGTGCACGATTGGCTACAAGCTCGCCTATCGCCTCAACCGGGAGGAGCACTCGTTTGTGGACGTGTGGGTCAGCCACGTGCTGGCCAAGGCGATGGCCGAGAGTGTGTGATGGACGCGTATGAGTTTGAGAGTGGGTGATGGACGGTATTAGGGCACAGCACACTCGCACGTATTAGTAATTGGAGGCGCGCGGCGGCGCGGCGGCGGCGGCACGCGCGCACGGCGCAGCATCGCGCGTTATTTTAGCGCACTTGTAGCACTTGGAGTGGAGGAAAACTGCCGAAGATTTCTCCTTTGCAAAAAATCTCCTTTTGAGCTTGGGGCTTGGGCAAAGCAGGGTGGTTCCAACTTTTTCCGGGGTACTATGGTATGGTAGCATCGGCGGCCCAAAGGGGGGGGTATGGTGCTGACCGCCTAAGACTAGCCCTACCATACCCCCAAGCAGGTAGTCTGCCGGCAGGCGGGGGGATGATCTTGAGCTGGGTTGGCTGCTACCGTACCATACCCCGCAAAAAGTTGGAACCCAGCATATTGTCTGCATGAACAGCGAGTGTCTTGACGTTGCCTGCCTCGGTGCCTACCTCCGGCAACGACACGAGATCGACTCGTGGCTGCTAGAGCGCCGCTCGGAGCTGGCTGCGGCCATCGCAGTGCACGACGAGGCGCTCGCGGCCACAAAGCTGCTCTGCGAGGCGTGCATTGCCGTCCTTCGCCCCAGCCGGACTGCACGCCGCCGTCACGCCCCACCCGGTCCCTCCGCTGCGTCAGGCACTCCTGCTCGAGGCAGAGGAGTGCACCTCGAGCGCAGGCGTCCAGCGGTGCGACACGTGGGAGGTCTTTGCGGCGACAGAGACGGTGCCGCCGCCGCTGCTGCGGCCGGGTCCGCCCGAGAGGCTGCTCGGCTTCATCCGCGGCACGCCGGCGCGGGCGAGGCGACGCGCGAGCGAGCAGGCCAACGCTCGCGTCGACGAGTCCGACGCGATGGCAGATTATCGTGCGGCGGCGGACGGTCGGCGGCGGCGGCTGCTCGAGGAGTTTGCTCCGGTGCTGTCTCGCTCGGACCACTCCGCGGTCTGCGTGGAGGCGCGGCTGGCGACGGCGGCGGCGGAGGCCGAGCCGGAGCAGGAGGTCGAGGAGGAGGCCGCCGCGGCGGCGGAGGTCGTGACGGGTGCGGTGGAGGCAGAGGCAGAGTCTGGGCGGCTGCGGCTGCGGGTCGTCTCTCAGAACGTGCAGGAGCTGGTGCCGGACGGCGTGCACACCTGCGCCTGCGCGGTCGCCGCCCGCCTCAAGGGGTTGCCGGAGGTGCCTCCGGCAGGCCGCGCTGTCGAGCTGCTCAAGGAGGCGATGCTCTCGCCGCCGGCTGCGCGCGCGCAGCTCGAGTGGCTGCGCTCCTTGCTCGAGGGAGAGGTGCCGCACTCGGCGGCCGTCTGCCTGCAGGAGCTGTCGGACGGGCTGGTGGCGGACCTGCGCGCGCTCTGTCGCGCACCTGGCCGAGGCTGGCACATGCATGCCTCCGAGCCGGCTCCGCCGCGGGGTCGCGCGGGCGCCTCGTGCGCTGCACGCACCTGCATTATCTCCGCCTCGCCGCTGCGGCCCGAGCCAGACGTCGTCGCCTCCTTCTCGGGGGCGGGCGGCGCGGCGGCGCGCACGCGCCGCTTCGCCGCCGCGACGCTTCGAGCGCGCGCCGAGGCGGGCGCAGGCGGCGGCGTCGTCCTCGCCTCGGTGCACTTCCTCCACGCGGCTGAAAGGGCGGCGGCGGGGGAGGCACCGCCCTCCAACGCTTCGCACATCTGCGAGGGCGTCTCGCAGGCGGCGAGGCAGCTGCGCGGCCGGCTGCGGCAAGGCGGCACGCTGCTCCTCGTCGGAGACTTCAACGGGCCCGTCGGAGGTGTTGCCGACTTGCTCGCCCGCGATGATGGCGGCGATGATGGCGGCGATGGCGGCGGGGATGGCGGCGGCGGCGGCGGCGGCGGCGGTGGCGCTGGTTGCGGTGGCGGCGCAGGTGGTGTCGGTGGGGTTGGCGATGGTCGCGGCGGCGAGCGTGGTGGCGGCGGAAAGGTGTGGCAGTGGCACGCGAGCCCTGCAGGCCCGACGCAGCTGTCGCTGTTTGGAGGCGGCGAGCGTGCTGCCGCCGACGGCGCCGTCGCCCTCTCGCTGCGGCGGCGGGCGGTCCGACGCATGACGTGCGCCCTCCTGCAGCCTCGGGGGGGAGGGGGCGGACCCCAGAGCAGAGAGGGCGGCGGCGGAGAGGGCGGCGTCGGCGACGGAGCCAGGCCGGGCGGGAAGGGCGGCGGCGGCGGCACGGACGGCGGTGGCAAGGGCGGCAGCGGAGGGGGCCGCGGCGGAGGAGCCGGTGGCAGTGGCGGCGAAGGCGAAGGCGGAATGGCGGGTGAGGGCGGCCCGCCAGAGCCCGGTCTCGAGGGGCGCGACGCGTCGGCGGAGGTGGAGGCGGAGGTGGAGGTGGAGGCGGAGGCGGAGGCGGAGGCGGAGGCGGAGGCGGAGGCGGAGGCGGAGGCGGCAAAGTGGGCGGGCCTCGCCCTCGTCGCGTCTGTGAGTTCGGCGGCGCGACAGCAGCTCGTCGACGGCGGCGTGAGCGAGGAGCTCCTGTCGCTGCCCGCACCGCTCCTGTGCTCACAGCTCCGAGAGATGGCAGTGGTGTCGCCGCGGCGGCAGCTCCTACCTCGCGGCGGCCCTCCTCACCCGTCGGCTGTGGCGCGCGCGCCCACACATAGGCGGTGGCAGCTCGTGAGGTGGTGAGGCTGCCTTCTCGGCATCGTCTCCGAACCTTCTCGGAACCTTCTCGCAGGTGGCAGCTCGTGCGGCGGCGAGGCACCCCGCGGTGCGGAGGCTGAAGCCGGCCGAGACCGAAGCGCGCGCCCTCGTGCTCAGCGATTTTGCGACGCTGGCGCCGGCCTCGGCCGCCCCCTTCGGTCCTCCTCCTCCTCCGCCCGCCGGCTCGCCCTGCCCCGCCGTCCTGCTCGTCCTCGTGCGCTTTGCCTCTCCTCCGCCCCCGCCCCACCGTGCCGGCGCGGGCGGGGCCTCTTAAGCAGCATGGCTGCAAGCAGGCGCGCTTCCGCGAGGACGTGTCTTGGCTCGCGCGGCTTCCTCCGGGCGTCGAGTACCACGTCATGCAAAAGGGAGGCGCCGTCCAGCGCGAGCTGCCCGCTTGCCGGCAGACGGCGCTGCCCAACGTCGGCCGCGAGGCCCACGCGTACCTCTCCTGTGAGGTGTGAACAGCGTCTCTTCACACCCACCGCTGTGAACAGGCCCACTCGTACCTCTCCTGTGAGGTGTGAACAGCGTCTCTTCACACCCACCGCTGTGAACAGGCCCACTCGTACCTCTCCTTTCTCGAGACCGTGCACGCCGCCTCCGCCTCCGCCGCCGAGGCGGCGCGGCTTCTCCCGCCGCTCGTCGTCTTTGCGCAAGCGGACCCCTTCGACCACAACCCGGGCGAGCTCTCCCCACGGACACCCCCCACCCCCCACCCCGCCCCCCGCCCCCGCCCCGAGAGTGCGCGCTTCGCCCCGCCCCCCCGCGGCGGCCCGCCGCAGCGCTCAGCCCGCCAGACCGCGCCGCATCACCTCACGCCCTGCCTTGGCTCGCCGCATCACCTCACGCCTTGGCTGAAACAGCCTTCCTCGACGAGCTCTCCCTCCTCGCCGCGCACGTCTCCGCTGGCCGCCGGCCGCCGCGCTGGGTGCCGCTGGGGCTCTGGAGCGGTGGAGAGCGCATCGTCTACTGCGACGCCAGCGGCGCGCCGCACCAGGCACTCACAGTAAACCAACTAGCACCCTCGGTCGCGCTCCATTCCTGGCCCCCTCCTTCTCCTTCTCCCTCCTTCTCCCCCCCCCCCCCTCCCCCCTCTCCTCCTCCTCACACGGCAGCACCCCACACCCTTCCTGAACACCCCTCCGCTCGCTCGGCTCACAGCCGCTGCTGCTCCCGATTGGGCGCGTGTGGAGGGCGCTGTTTGGAGAGGGGCGGGCCCTACCGACGTGGATCGGCTTCACTCCTGGCGCATGCTTCGCGGTCTGCCGCGAGGCGCTGCTCCGCGGGCTCACGCCCTCACGCGTCGAGGCGGCGCTCTCCCCCTCCTGCGGGCTCGGGGGCCTAGAAGCTGACACTCTGATCGATCTGTGCCTAGCACTCGAGACTAGCACTCGAGACGACATGTACTCCGCTGTCTGTCGACCGGCCTCGTACACCCTCGTGTTTCACGACGCAGGCTCGGGTGCCACGCCGACCCGCTCTCCGGGCACGTGTTTGAGCGGCTGTGGAGATACCTCTGTGGCTACGGCGAGGAGGAGGAGGAGTTGGGCGAGCACGCCGTGTCGTCGGGCGGGCCGCCGCCGCTCTCGCCGCCGCCCTCGCCGCCGCCCTCGCCGCCGCTCTCGCCGCCGCCCCTAACGACTCTGGTTGGCATCGGCTCTCTGGTGTCGGAGTCCTCGGCGGCGCGCTCCTTCTCCTTTTGCAACTTCCGCATCGGCGAGGTCCGCGGCTGGCGTCGCACCTTCAGCCAGGCGAGAGATTACCCGAGATTACCCGAGATTACCCGAGATTACCCGAGATTACCCGAGATTACCCGAGATTACCCGAGATTACCCGAGATTACCCGAGATCACCCGTCGCACCTTCAGCCAGGCGAACTGGGTCAACACGGCGCACGGCTGGGGCAGTGCCGCTCGAGGCACGACGGCGGCGCTGGCGATGGTGCGTTGCGACGCAGACTTTGTCAGCCGCGTCGCGCTGCTCGACGTAAACGCGGAAGAGCTGCCCGGCTTCTACGAGCGCGAGGCCGGCTACAGCATCGTCACGACCGACTACTGCGAGGGGCGGGGCCCCGAAGGCGGCGCGGCGCGGCGTGGCGTGGCGCTCATGTGCGCCGCTTGTGCGGACGATGCCGAGGCGGATACGCTGTGGGCGCCCGGCGGCGCGATGGAGCGCCATTGCGCGGGCAGCGAGTACGTCGCCGCCTGGATGCGCTCCTCTCTCCGCCCGCTGTGGCCGCCCGCGGGTGCGCACCTGCTGCCTGCGCCGGGCTACCTGCGGCTGTGCGCAGCGGCGCACCGGCGGGCAGGGCTGCTCGACCACTTCCTCGATAGCACGCTCCTCCACGACGGCGTGACGACACTACGCGCGCACTGCGAGCGGGACGAGGGCGCGCGCCGCGCCATCGCGTCGCTAGACGAGGAGGAGGCTGCAGGCAGCGACGAGGAGGCCGCCTCGATGCACGGCGATGCGAGAGGGGCGCTGAGTAGGAGTAGTGGGCATGGAGTCACACTAGAGCCGTAGCGCGGCGAACGGCGACATGAGAGGGAGGCGGCGTGTCCCGGAATTGCATATGCTCAAGGACAAGGTACTCCCTCTCCGTCTCCTGCGCCGCCGCGGGATTCCCCCCCGCTTGCGCGTTCTCCATATTTTCTTTTTTCGCATACCCCGCACAGCATAATACTCGCTCAAGTGCGGCCGCAACCCAACACCGAGTCGAAGAATGTGTCTGTGATGGCCTCACTGAGGCCTCCCATGCGGGCCCAAGTCGCGTCCGCGGGGCTGGCATGCGCCCCTCCCTCCCCTTTGCGTCGAGCGGCGGCGCACCGAGAGCCCCGTGACCCGTCGTGCCGGTCGCTGCCGGCGCCACAGGCGTCGTGATGCTGCGGGTCCCGGAAGGCCCCGAGCGGCGCGCTCAGCGTGAGCAACGCAGGCTCCTCCCAGATTTTGACGCCCAGCGGCGCCAGCGTGCTGCGCGCAGCCTCATTGAGCGCGCGGATGACGAGCGGGTTAGTGCCGGGGAACGCACGGGCTCGTCCCGCCGCCAGCCCGCAAAGAGACGCGCCAGCCTTCAGCGTGGCATCTTCGAGCAGCAGCTGATGTGTGGTTTGTCGCCACACGAACAGTACGCTGGGGTTGACGGCCTGCACTCGCGCTATGATGTGTGCAAGCAGCCGAATGTGATGGCGGTACGCGGATAGAGGCGACACCTTCTTTTCATGTCCCGGTGGAGGCAACGAGACGTCGTGCGCTCCACTCTGTAGTACCACGATGCTGTCGTTTGCCAGCGCAAGCGCCCGCTCCCAGTCCCCCGCCGCCTTACCCACCACATTGCCACAGCCGATCCGTGGCGGGTTTCCCATCGCGTTGCTGATAATGACGCCGCCGCTAGGTAGCGGCTTGGCCGGCCCGCTCCATTCGGAGCAGTTGGCTGAGCGCCCTGCCACACGCGCGCAAATGTCGAGGGCAAAACCATTACTGATCGAGTCGCCCACAATGATGAGACGCCGGTGGCCTTTGGCGAGGCAACGACCAATGTGGAGATGCTGTCGCCGAGTGCTCGCGCAGCCAAAGGGAACCCACTCATGCGGGCTACGAAACTGGGAGTGGTGACCGACGGCTTGCATGCCACTCGGCGTGGTTCCATTTTCGCTTACGCGGACCCAGCGTCCGTCTTCGCCTCCATGGCAAGCCCGGGTGATCGGAGGGTGCTCGTGAGCGGGCTGCGCGCGTGCCGCGATCGTTATGGGAGGCCGGCTGGCTGCGCGGCACTGCAGCTGGTCTGCACTAGGGAGGTTTTGCGCAGGCAGCGAGGGGAAGGAGCGGTTTGAGGCAGGCGTGTGGCCAACCATAATCCACCATCTCGACTCGAGGTAGTCCGGCACGAGGCTCGTGAACCAAAGCTGCACCCACGCCTGCACATCACGCACGTCCAGCTCATCTCTAGACACATCTGCGACGTATGAGCCGTCCCCCAGATCGCGCGCTAGCTGCCTCCACGTGCTCGTGTTGGTCGCGAAGCGCACGACCCAAACGTCGCCCCCCACCGTCTTCATCTTGGACGAAGCCGGAGACGAAAGGGCCGGCACCCTTTCTCTTAAAAAACTGTTCAGTTTTCAAAGGCAAAACACAACGCTCTGCGGTTGGTGCACCCCTCACACTGACACATTCCCCTCATCCCCTACCCTTGGCTGAGCACATCTACCTGCGAGCTAGCATCTCCGCATTTTCTCTTCCAGTCATCCGCCCGCGCCGCGCGCCATCACTGGGCGTCTAGTGCAGCCACTGACAGAGCTATTCCGAAGGAGTGGTCGACGCCTCGCCTAGAGTTCGGGTGGACTTGCGCACTGCTTAGCCCTGAGGGGGGAGTGTGTGTGAGGTGGTGTAATGTTGTCCCGTTTCAGGCGGCAGGTCAGGGGATTAGCCGGGAGGATTCGGCAGCTCAGCCGGGGGCTGAGCGTCTGCAGGCAGCCTTCCGCCCGCGCCGAAATTCACAGCCCTCCCGGGCCGACGGGGTGCTCCTTGGATCGGGCCCCGCTCCCCGCTTTTCCTGTACCTGGACTGTCCGGGTTAGGAGGGTGAGAGTATTGGGTGGGCGAGGGCAGTACATCTGGCGGGTGGCGATTGAGGGACAGCGTGGGTTGATTGGGGGGTCAATGGGCGCGCGGGCGGCGCTTCGTGGTCCTCACCCTCACCCCTCACCATCCTCAAATCCTCGAATCATCGAGATCATCGAGAGCGTCGTGAGCGTTGATTCTGTGCTGATTTTTGCGCGCGAGCGTCGCGATTTTTGGTCTGGTTGGTCCGTCGTGGCCGGTGCGCGGGAAACTCGCCGAAAACCCGCGCAGCCGGCCGATTGTACGACCGAGGTCGCTGAGCCTTGGCGACGCGGCGCGCGCGTCGCCAAGGAGTTCGTAAAATGTCAGAGTTTTTTTTACACCCTTTCTCTTCCTACCTACCCCGCGAACATGGCTGACAAGATCCGTGAAGCCTTGGCTGAGGGTGCAAACAGCGTCCAGGTCACTGTCCAGGCCGCCGCCAATATCAAACAGGTCATCGAGTGGAAGTTCAACTAAAATTCAATACTCGGATCAGATCAGATCGGTGAGAACTGAGATGGTGGAGTGCGCAGTCCGCACATTTGTCATTTGAGTCTGCAGTGTCCGAGTCACTCAGTAAAGCCGTATGCGGCGTCCGGCGAGCGGCGTCGCCGAGGGACCGCGCGCGGGAGCGCGGAGGAGAGGCTTAGCGGGATGGGGGGCTCTATATGTACGAGATAAGTAATACACAAACAGAGAGAGAGGATGTTCAACACAAAGGTTGAACTTGAGAGACGTGAGCAAAGAAGGACTATGTAAGAGAGGGAGGCGGGCGTGAGACGTGCTGCGTCGTCGCGTCGGCGTGAGGGGCGGGAGACCAAAAGAGGGCACAGGGCAGGTCTCAGAGAGAGGAGCTCGCGGCGGCCTCCTCTCCCACGCGGTCCCTCCGGATCATCGCGGCGGCCTTCTCGCCAATCATAATGGTCGGCGCGTTGGTGTTGGCCGACGGCAGCTTCGGCATGACGGAGGCGTCCGCCACGCGCAGCCCCGCCACGCCGCGCACGCGGAGCGAGGCGTCCACCACGGCGAGCGGGTCCGAGGGTGGCCCCATCTTGCAGGTGCCCACCGGGTGGTAGAGGGTCATGCCAAAGTGCTGCACCGTCGCCTTCCAGTAGCGCGCGAGCCGCGCCTTTGGTAGCTGGTAGAAGTCGAGCGGGCTCATCGCGTCGTACTCCGGGTAGGCGTCCCCGAGGCCGAGGTCTGCCGGGTGCGGCGCCGTGACGCCCGTCACGAGCGAGCGGAGCGGCTCCTGGGCGACCAGCAGGTTGGCCGCGGTCAGGATCTCAACCCAAGCGTCGAGGTCGGCCTCGTCACTCAGGTAGCGCGGGTCGATGAGCGGCGGCACGGCCGGGTCGGCGGAGGCGAGCCTACAGCGGGAGGCAGGGGCTGCCTCTGTGCGTCCTCGACTGCGCGTGGTGGTGTGATCCAGCTGGTGTGACCTGGGCCCGGGGTGGTGCTGTTGTGTGTGAAGACACACGGGCTACGACCACGGCGAACACGGTGGGGGACGGCCGAGTGCGGCGGAGTCCGTGTCCTCTCGGGCGCTAGTGGGGGGACAAGAAGACGTGTTCCGCTTCTAGGGGCGCGAGCTCGACAACGCCGCGCGACTTTGGGTGCAGGTGGCACGGGACCTGCGCGGGGGTGGTACACCGACATGAGGGCGGGAAGACGGCAGTGTGTGCAGTGTCTTCAGAGCACCGCGTGGATACGAGGGGGGGCGAACACAGCTGAATACGGTCGAGTACAGCGGAGTGCGTGTCCTCTCGAGCGCTCGTTAGAAGACAATACGTATTCCGCTCCTAGGCCCGAGATATGGGGAGATATGGGGAGATCTTCCGCTTCTAGGCACGGGACGAGCGTGACGCCCTCCTCCTCGCCCGCCTTGTGCTTAGGAGACTGGAGGTGCCCCCACGCGCTCCTGCTCACGCCGATGTTGTCGTGGAAGAGCTTCTCGTCGCCCGCGCCGACGAAGAGGCCCACCTGGAGGTGGGGAGAGATGGGCGAGAGATGGGCGAGAGATGGGGAGAGGTGGGGAGAGGTGGGGAGAGGTGGGGAGAGGTGGGGAGAGATGGGCGAGAGATGGGGAGGGTTGGGGAGAGGTGGGGAGAGGTGGGGAGAGGTGGGGAGAGGTGGGGAGAGGTGGGGAGAGGTGGGGAGAGGTGGGGAGAGGTGGAGAGAGGTGGAGAGAGGTGGGGGAGAGGTGTGGAGATACGGGGAGATACGGGGAGATACGTGGAGAGAGGAGGAGAGATGGAGAGAGATGTGGAGAGATGGCGAGAGATGGGGAGACCTTGGGAGACGGGGGGGGGGAGAGGGAGGGGGGGGGGGGGGGAGATGTGTGGGGAGATGGCCCGGCAAAGAGAGCAACTCCTGCATGTCGGGTCCCTCGCCGGCGGCGGCGAGCGGCGTGCGGCCGTGCACGACGGCGTCGTAGCTCGAGGAGGAGAGGTGGCCCTCGCCGCGCAGCAGCCACTGCAGCAGCGCCGCGGGGCTCTCGGCCTTGGCCTTGGTCACCGCGTCCCCGCCCTTGACGAAGAAGGTGTAGAACATCGCGAGGTGGTCCTGCGTGGTGCAAGACGCCAGCCTCAGCGCGGTGTGCGGTCTCGTGCAGAGTCTTCAGAGCGGCGCGTGAGTACGAGATCTGGCGAGATCTGGGGAGAGATGGCGAGATTGTGTGCGGTCTCGTGCAGAGTCGTCCGAGCAGCGCGTGAAGGCGCGAGGGGCGACGAGTAGCATGCGCACAGCGTGGCCTCGACCGACAAGCAACAAGCACGCGCCCTCTCGAGTGCTGGTTGGAGTGCAAACAAGGGCCTTCCGCTTCTACGGGGCTGCTCCTGCAGGTTCTGGCCGACGCCTGGAAGGTCCACCTCAGTCGGAACCCCAACCTAGAATCGGGTCGTCGTGTCGTCTCGCTCTCGCCTCGCTCTCGCCTCGCTCTCGCCTCGCTCTCGCCTCTCGGGTCGACCTCATCGGTTCTCGGGCCAGAGCCCTCACCCCCTGCCTCCCGCCTCCGCACTCGCCTCCGCACTCCCCCCTCCCGCGGCGTCCTCTCGGCACACCAACCTTCTCGAGCTGGTCGCGCGGCCCGATGCCCGAGAGGAGGAGGAGCTGCGCCGACCCGACCGCTCCGGCCGACACCACCGCCTCGCGCCGCACGCGAATGCGCACCTCCTCCCCCTCCCCCTGTGGGCCGCCGACACGGGCCTGCACCGCCGCCACCCGAGCGCCGCGCCCCTCCCCGCCGGTCCCCTCGCTGGCGAGGACGAGCCTAGAGGGCGAATGCGCCAGCCTCGGGGCGGGAGGACGGCCATGTGCGGAGGGCGCAGAGCACCGCGAGGGCTGCGAGTATACTAGAGAAAGCGTACTGCGGTGGAGGGACGTGTCCTCGCGAGCGCTGGTTTGGAGACAAGAGTGCGTGTTCCGACGGGGAGGAGAGGGGGAGAGGTTGTTCCGCTTCTAGGAGAGACGAGGCTTGCTGACGAGGCCGTGCGTGAGGACGTGCAGGTTGGCTCGCCCCATGGCGGGGTACAGAAACGCATCCGCCGTGCTGCCGCGCCGCCCGCTCCCAAACACCGTCTGCTGGAAGCGAGACGCTCCGCTCGCGTCGCCGTCGTTGTAGTCGCGAAGCGGGTGGCCCGCCGCCACTGCAGACTGGACAAACGCCTCTGCCAGCGGGTTGGCGGGGCTCTTGTACCGGACGGGCAGCGGCCCACCTATGGGGAGATATGGGGAGATATGGGGAGATATGGGGAGATATCTTGTACCGGACGGGCAGCGGCCCACCGAAGCCGTGCGCCGACGAGTTGAGCGCGCCGGCCCCTGTCTCGCGCGCCAGTGTCGCGTCCTCGGACTGCAGGAAGAAGGGCAGCACCGACTCCCAGTCCCAGCCAGGGTTGCCTGCGTGGTGGAGACGCCGGCATGAGGGCGGGTAGATGGTATCGAGAGCACCGCGTGAATAAAAAGAATACGTGCTCCGCTTCTAGGCTTGGGTTGCCCATCGCCGCCCACGAGTCGTAGTCCGCCGCGTCTCCGCGCACGTACGCCATGTAGTTGAGCTGCGACGAGCCGCCGAGGAGCTTGCCCCGCGGCCAGTTTGACTTTTGGCCCGTGTAGGCACGGTGCGAAGTTGCCTGGGGAGTCGTCTTGAGCTGCCAGTCTCCGTCGACCAGCTGCACGTCGCCGCACGCCGCTGGTATGCTGTGCTTGATGCCCGACTCGCCTCCCGCCTCGATGAGCAGCACGCTCACGTCCGCGTCCTCAGAGAGGCGGGCGGCGATGACGCTCCCGGCGGACCCGGCGCCGATGACGATGTAGTCGTACTCATCGAGCAGCTGAGACGCGCCGATCGGGCCGTACGCGCGCCGCCACGCCGCAAAGGCGGCCACGGCGATGACGAGGAGCGACACGCGTGCGCCGAAGAAGGGCATGTGGAGACGGCAGTAGCGTGGCCTTCGCGGGGATGGAGTGCGGAGAGGACGAGCTTGAGGACCGTGTGTGTGTGTGTGTGGCCCTTGAGGACCGCGGCGAAAGAATTCTTAAGATACAAGCCTCTCTCACAGCACACTGGCACGACAAGGGCGCAGACTGGCGCGGACTGGCACACACACAGGCTCACCACCGGAGCCGCCTAAGCGACTCCGTTAAGAACGGCAATGCACTCCGCACCATGCACAATGCCGCTCTCCCCGCACGCTAGCTCGTTCACCGTCTGCCACGCCACGGCGGTGTGGAGGACGACAGACAAGCGCTGCATCTGCAGCCCGTGCCAGTTCTTGGTGGTCCATGTGACCTCGTCCAGGTGCTGAGCGTGCGAAAGTTTGTTGCTCAGCTGGTTCGCCGCCTCCCTCAGGGTGCTGCGAACCTCCTTTCCAAAGCCTCAGCCTCTCAGGAATGATCCAGAAAAACAAGCCGGCCTCATGGCACAGATCCCGCTCGGCCGTGCCGGCAAACCAGCGGAGATCGCTGGTGCGGTCTCTTTCTTGCTGTCTCCCGACGCATCATACACGTGCGGCGCCAACATTCGGGTCGCGGGCGGTAGAGGCCCTGGCACCATGCTCGGGTAAGCCTTCGGGTAAGCAGCGACCATCGATCGGTCTGTGGGGGGCGGGCAGCGGGCGTTTGCTTTTAAAAACAGAAACCAGAAAAAAAGAGGGGGGAGCATCAGGGGCCACTGAGAGTAAAAAATACGCCCGAGGGGACAAGGAGGGGTGAAAGGGCGCGAGGGGGAGGGCGCACGAAACACGGGTAAACCAAACGGGTCTGTCCCCAGCGGATCTCGGCTGGCTCTCTGCTGGTCACCATTCTCTCTCTGGCGCAAGCTGCCAAACCCGCCGGCGTCACGGCCTCTGCCAACAGTAGGGTGCCCACAGGACCCAAGAGAAAATAGCTTGTGTGTATCGCGCGCCTTGCGGGGGGGGCGCGGAAAAGAGGAACCTCTAAGCGCCATCGCCACGGTGCTGCATGCAGCGCCGGGCGACGACGGCTTACCGCCTCCCGGTCCCCCTCGGCACACCTCCGCTGCTCAATGTTTGACGGCTCGAGCCCGTGAAGCTTCCCCGCGCGCGGGTTACAGCTTCTGCCTCAAAAATTGCGCTTCGGCGGTTAGTGGTGCACTAACCTCCGAGAAACCCTTCGGGTCGCTCCTCATCGCAAACCCTGTCAGCAGAGTCTCCTACGGGAATGTACGTAGAGAGCTACATTCACTGAGAGAGAGAGAGAGAGACACTGAAAAAGGGACGCACGCGGCAAATCTGATGTTGGCCAGTTCCAATAGGAGCGAGGCCTCTTCCGTTGGGGGACCGAGTACATAGGAAACGAGGGTTTCGCCTGGGTCACGGTCGGGCTGCCGCGCGACGGTGTGCTCAAGAGCGGCTGGCTGGCGAAGCGCGGCGAGGTGAACACCGCGTGGAAGAATCGCTACTTTGTCCTGTTCGCCGCCGACTCGGAGCGCCAGCTCCCAAAGGTGCTGCGCTACTACAAGAGCAAGAGCGCCTTCGACGCAATGCAGAATGCGGGGCACGTGCCCATCGACGGATCGGTCGAGGTCTCGATGGGGTCGGCGCTCGACGCGGATCGGCCACACAGCTTCGAGGTGACGGTGCCAAAGAAGCGGAGCTACGTGCTGGCCGCGCCCTCGGCCACCGAGGCGGGCGAGTGGGTGACTGCGCTCGGAGGCGGCGTGGAAGGCAGCCCGCGATCGGTGTTGTCTGTCGCGTCTGGCCGCATCTCCGACGCGCCCGCGAAGCTCGGCGAGACCGAGGCGGAGCTTGAGGAGGTGTTCTCGGGATGGATGCGGAAGCGCGGCCAAGGGAGCAGCCTGCTGGGCGGCAAGCTCAAGCAGCGCTACTTCGTGCTCTACTCGAACAAGGAGCTGCACTACTTTGACAGCGCCACGCCAAGCGACGCGTCGCGCCGCGGCCAGATCCGGGTCGACGCGGCGGTGGAGATGGAGCGGAGCAAGCCTCGCGACAAGAAGGACTTCTCGTTCGTGATGAGGGTACCCGGGCGCGACTGGGTGCTCGACCCGGGATCCGGCACGGCTTGGGCGGAGTGGGACGCTGCGCTGCGCCCGATGCTGTCCCCTGCTGCGGCAGCCATTGCCGCTGCAGCTGCGTCTGGCTAGTGCCAGGGGGATCGTCGGCAGCTCCCAAGGTGGTCGTCGTCGGTGTGTGCACCGCTCACCCACGCGCACTGGGCCTTGCACTTTGAATGCCGTGGGGCTCCTGTCGTTAGACGTGGAGACGCGAGGGTCGCCCTCCCTTGCCCCACCACCTCGTGTGTGTGGCGAAGTATACCTTACCTTACCTTGTACCCTGTGTGCTCTCTCTCGTCTCTGCGACAGAGCTCGCGCGAGCCGAGACCCAATAGCCTCTCAGAGCAGAGACTCGACCCGATAGAGCCTCTCAGAGCAGAGAGAAGCACAGAGGGGCCGTGGCTTAAGCACGTGTTAGTTTCTCCGTCCCAACATATGTTACAAACTGAACACAAAACGAGATAATCTACAGACAGGTGACAGCACGTGCTGAGAAGCGCGGTGCGCGCGCCGCTGCCAGTGAGTATTGCTTCAGCCTTCACAGTATGCATTCAACAGGCCAACGGACACGCGGGGCCTCCACTTCTCTCCGCCGCGTTAGGCCACATCGATGATGGACAGCGGCGACGAGGACCGCGACTCGAAGGATGAGCGGCGGGGCACCTCCAGAGCGGGCGCCGCCAGCGAGCCCACTGGCAGGGCGCGTCGCCGACCCGAACTCGCCCACTCGAGGGTCGACTCGCCTCCGTGGGAGATGCGGACCACCTTGACTTGCGGCGCGTCGGCCGAGATGTCCCCAGAAGGCCGCTTCCTCGGCGAGCCGGCACCGCCTCCGCCCGGGCTGCTCGGCGTTTCGAGGCAGACATGCCCCTTTTTGAACACACCGCACTTGCGGCAGCGGTAGCCGCCGACGGTGACGCCAGCGCTCTGCGCCGCCTGGCGCGCCCTCTCCGCTCCCTTGAGCCGGTGGTAGCGGTTTCGGATCGCATTCTCCGAGCGGCCGGGCACGTCCTTTGCTACCGCAGCCCAGCGGGTGCCGTGCCGTGCGACGCCCTCCATGATGAGTTGATCTTCGGCGGGCCTCCACTGCTGAAGCTCACGGCCCTTCCTGCCCGAAGGCGAGGTTTCCGAAGGCGAGGAGGCCTGGGAGCTGCTGGCGGCTTCCACCGTGGCAGTGAACGCCGGCTTCGAGTTGGCGCGGCGGTGCTCCTCCGCGAGGATGGCCTCGACGGCAGGCCAAAGCTGCAGCTCATCGACGCTAAGCTCGGGGAGGTCATCGAGCGGAGGGAGCTCGTCCGCCAGCGGCTCAAGTGAAGGAGAAGCCTCGAGCAGGTCGGTGGTCACCTCGCCGTGCGCTTGGAGGTTGGCGTCGACAAGAAGCGCCTCGAGTCCCAGATCAACGAGACTCGTGTAGAGCGGAGAGTCGGCTGACGGCGCAGAGACGACGACCGGCGAGTCGCATTGGGTCTCGGGCGTGCTGATGCCGGCGATGCGAGCCAGGCGGGCGAGGTTGTTGAGAGAGAGGGACATCGCTCCTTGCAATGGTGTTCGGACGAATTTAGGCGGCAGGACACCGAGATTGTCCGCCGGGCTACAAGTAGACTGGCCACCCTGCGCGCAGCGATGGAAGTGTCCCCACATGCACGAGGCAGGATCCCCTGCACAAAAGAAGATGGCGAAGTCTACTCTTTTGGGCCCAAGCGCTTGGGCGACCTAGACGGGCGCGCAACAAATGCTGCGCCTCGCTGCGGCCCTGCTGACGCTCGGGATCGGCGGCCTGATTGTCATCACCGGCCGCACGGCCAAGGCGAGGTCGCGGGTGAGGCGGGCGTCGCGGCGCGCGAGGCGGCGGAGGCTGCGCGGTCGAGCGATTCTTTTTTCAGTGTAATGGCTCCGACCGTTTCAGTGAATGTAGCTCTTACGAAGCGCCTCGTAAGAGATTGGTTCACTAGAGAAATTCTAGAGCTCGAAAATTCTGAGAACCCGCCTGCAAAAAGAAACCCGCGGGGATGCCGGGCCCCGGGCAACTGATGATTTCCGATGCAGCAGGCCATCACAACGGCAGAGCAGCTCTGTGCGCTTGCGGAGCGGAGTGCGCGAGCGAAGCAGCTCGACACGGCGCGCTTGCTCTTCGGTAAGGCGCTGGACATGGCACCAGCTGATGAACAGTTGCTCCGAGCGTCCATCCGGCTCGGACGCGCAGGGTTGTGCCTAATGGCCGACCTGGCGGAGGATGCGCTCGAGGATGCGTCCGCTGCGTGGGCCGCAGTGCAGCGCGAAGCTGCTGAGGTGCCTGCCGATCATGCCGAGGTTCTTGCGCTGCTGGACACGATGTCCAACTCAGCTCTCTCACGGATGGCTCACGCAAAGGCGGCGCTCGGAAGGCGTGCGGCCCTCGCAGACCTCGCCGCCCTGCCCGCTGCGTTTAAATGCGGCGCTGGCGGCGCCGAGGCGGCTTGGCACCTTGTCATGCAGAGCTTTGACCTAGCTGACGGCGGCAAAGAGGCGTCGCAGGACGTGGAGGACGTGGACGTGGACATGGTGGCCGTCACACGGTGTGCGCGGCTGTTAAGCGAGGTCGTGGAGGAGAGCTCCGCCCCCGATTTCCACGAGAGCAAGGCACTCTCGCTGCTGGACGACGCCCTCGCCGCGTGTCCGTCCCGCCAGCGCGCGGTGCGCTCACTGTTGCTGCTCTCGCGCGCCGCCTCGCTCCATCGAGAGGAGCGGGACGAGGCGGCCGATGCGGACTTATCGGTTGCGCTGCAGCTGACTGAGGCGCGGTGGGTCGAGGAGTGCTCGCTCAAGCTGCGCATGGCTTGCAAGCTGCGGGCGGGGGACGTGGCGGCGGCGCGGCGCGACTTGAGTGCCTTGCAGCAGCGGCAGTGGGGGCATGCTTTCCCAAAGCCGGCGACTTGGGAGCTTCACGGCGCGCAGCAGCCTCTCATCGAGGCGCTCCTTGGTGCCGGCCGCTGGCTGGCACTCGAGCGCTCAGTCCACCCGATCAACGCCCAGTTTGCTGAGAGCGAGGCTGCGGCAACGGCGCTCCTCGCAGAGGAGGAGGCGGCGGCGGCGGCGGCAGTGGCAGTAGCAGCGAAGGGCGGTAGCGCCCAAGGCAGGGGCGGGAGGGGCGGCAAGCGGAACAAGAGGGGACGCGGCGGTGGCGCGGCCGCCGCCGGCGCCGCCGGCAGGAGGATTTGCCGGCTGGGGGCCACCGCGTCGCCAGTTGATTGCTCACCCTCACGAGACGCTCCTTCCGGCGGCGGGGCAGGAGCGGCAGAGAGGGAGGCGGCGGCGGAGAGGGAGGCGGCCGAGGAGAGGTCGCGTGATGAGCTGAGGGAGCGGCTGGAGCGAGAGGCGCGCTGGGAGGCGGCGCAGGCGGCGCGGGATGCTGCTGCTGCTGAAGAGGCGGCGGCGGCGGCGGCACTAGAGGCGGGCGACGCTGAGGTTCCATCGGCATTGCTGCACGAAGCCATAGACGCACCGCCTCCGGTGCTGGAGGTTGGCGCCGCCGAGGTGCGTAGCTCGAGTGCAAATAGATGTCTCCCTCTCTCTCTCTCTCTCTCTCTCTCTCTCTCTCTGACCTGCTAGTTCTGCTTGCTGCAGGTGACGGCAGCGCTCGAGGCGGCAGGCGCCGAGGAGGTTGGCAAGGGGGGCTTCGGCGTCGTCTATGCGGTGGAGCTGCCCTCCTTCTCCGGCTGGGGCCGCGTCGCAATCAAGCGCGCGCTGCCGGGCCAGCCCGACGACAGCGTGAGCAACATGATGGACGAGGTTGCGCTGCTGCGCAAGTGCGCCCACCCCAACGTGCTGCCGCTCCTCGGCTACTGCGCCGAGGAGAAGGCGGTGTGCATGGTGACGCCGCTGATGCGGGGCGGCTCGCTCGACGACCGACTCCTGCTGACGCCCGCCGCGCGGGCGAGGCTGCGGCGGCTCGGCTTGCAGGGCCGGCTCGAGCTGTCGTGGGCGCAGAGGCAGTCGGCCCTCGATGCGAAATACAGATACAGACCCGTAGGTTCCAACTAGAGCTGGGGGCGACACGCGCTCGGCTGTACCTCACTGCATCGCAGCCGCATTCACGCGGTTCGGAGCCATCGTCTTCACGCGATGCTCGGACGTCACTGCACGACACCGCATTCGCGCCCTCAGCTCCCTGTACGATGGTGGTACTCACAAACCAGGCTGTCGGCTCTCTGTGACGCCGCGCGGGCGCTCGTGCACCTCCACGGGGCGAGTGGGCGAGAGATCCTCCACCGCGACGTGAAGACGGGCGAGCCTCACAGACCGCCGCGCGTCACTCCCCGCACGCTTCGCTCGCCGACCCGCCCCCCCTTGCGCGCCAGGCAACATCCTGCTCGACGGTTTAGCGGTGCCGCTGCGCCGTGCCGGCGGCCCGCCGCGCCACCACGTCTACCGCGCCTTTCTGTCGGACGTCGGTGCACGGGCGGCGGCCGCGTGGACTCGCAGACTCCGCCTCGCCACCTCACTCCCCCCATTCTCTCGCGTGGCAGGGCTCGCGAGGGCGCGCGGCGCGCGGGAGACGTCTGCTACACACGCGACGACGTACGGCGCTTACTTCTCCAACGGGTTCGTCTGCCCCATCTACCTCGACTCGAACCAGCACTCGGCCAAGACGGACGCATACGGAATCGGCATCTCGCTGCTGGTGGCGCTGACCGGCGAGCCGGCCAACGGCTTGCGCACCCGGTGGGAGGACACGCTGGCAGACCTGGCCGAGGGCGGCGGCGGCTCGGAGGAGCTGCGGCAGCGTGCGCGGCGCGTCGCGGGCTGGCCAGAGTCTGTGACGGTCGCGCTCGCGCGTGTGGTGCACGGCTTGAGCGTCGCGCGAAAGTCACACCGGCAGCCGCTGCCCAAGGCGCTGGCGGAGATGGAGGGGCTGCTGCTGGACGGCCACGGCGACGGTGAGGGAGGCGGCGAGGGCAGCGAGAGTGGCGGCGAGAGCGGCGCCGTCGGCGACGAGGGCCTTGAAGGGGCTCGTCCAAGGAACGGAGGCGACCTGACACGGGTGGTGGGGCGGCTGCACAACCTCGCTGTCAGCGACGGAGGCGATGCTTCGCTCGCCCGGCTGCAAAGGCACGTGAGCGAGGCTTTCGACCTCATGATGCTCCGACTCGAGCGCAAGTACGCCGAGGAGGGGCTGCCGCCGCTGCCGGCGGAGCTCTCTGAACGCGACAAGATCAACGCGCTGGCGCCGCGCAGCCACTGTCCGACCTTGAGGGGCCACGCGCACATGCTGCGCGGCTGGCGCAACGCCGCCGTCCACGAACGTAGCAAGTGGCGGCAGCCACCGAGCGACGCAGACGTCTCGCATGTGATTCAAGGGGTGATGTCAGAGCTAGAGAGACTCGGTTGGTGAAAGCGAGACCTCTCTGTCCTCTGTGCCGCGGGCCGCGCATCTACGTATCTCTCGTACGTGTATTTTACGATGGCGTTTTATCTTCTATCGCGGTGCTTTTTGTCCTTCAGAGAGAGGGCTGGCTGGTTGCAGGGGCTAGTTCCATTTCACTCTGACACGCTAATCTTGAAAACGTCGAACGGAGCTCCGTGTTGCTCCCAGCGCCCTCCCCCGCGCTTCCTGCGGCCATGGCCGATGATACTAGTATGAGAGGTCATCTGGCTACCGCGAGCGCGACTCAACTCGCCGACGTCGTCCGATGATTGTGCCTCAAAGTCAGCCTCCGGAGGCTATCGTGGGGTCGAGCCGGCAGTAGCCGTGACATGTGGTTCCACCACCCCTCGTATGCTTTGCCTCTGACCGCCACCGTTCCCAGGCTGCCAAATGGGATGGAAAGGAAGGCTCGGCGAGCGTATAGAAGCGTGCTCGACCTCGTCGTGGCAACCTGCACGGCAGCGCTGGTAGGCGCGATGAGCGTCGTGCCACCTGACCCGAGACGGGTCGCAGGCGTCGTACCGAGCGCGTCGAGACCGTGTCCTGATGTGATCTGCACGGGTGAGTCACGTCGGCGTCAAAGGAGCGACGTGCGACCTGTCAGAGCTTGATCTCCGATCTCAGCGGCGTCGAGTCGTCTCCGGCGCGCGACAAAGGTACATCCCCAGGACGCGCAGAGGCAGCTGCGATCCAGCGGAGTGGACGGTAACGCACCGCGCCACCTGCTGTGCGTTACCGTCCACTCGGCGGGGTCGCAGCTGCCTCTGGAAGGCACCCAGATGTACCTTTGTCGCGCAAATGGTCAAATCAAGGTTTTGTAACGCGAGCTGTGCCACAGTGAAATGGAACTAGCCAGGGTCAGGGCGGGGTGGCTCTCGTGACCCATGTCCCTAGTGCCTCCCAGTTGGATTCGTTCGACGAGTCGCACACCGTTGGAAAGCTCTTTTAAAAGTCCGTCGAAGTCTACACGTCGCTTTCGAAGTCTCGGTTTTTTGATTTTGATTTTGGCCATTGCATCGTTTCGCTCGAACGATCCACGCGGGGTCACTATGGAGCCGAACGAGACGACCCTTGTGGAGCAGCTTGCCCTTCTCAACGATGTAGAGGGCGTCTCCAACGCCATCGACAGCAAATATGACGGCCCCATTTTGAACAACATGACCGTCACGTACTACGTGGCTTCCCTGACGTGTCCCGCTCCAGTGCGAGCGTGACACTGCACTTGGCGCCGAGCGCCCGCGGCTCAGGCGACAATGTCCCCGTACATGTATGTGCCAACAATGCAGCGTGTGTGTCGCCCGTGGAATGGCTTGCACGCATCGGAACGCCGTGCGACAGCGAGATGCTGGCTAGGCAGAAAGCGGTGCCACGGGGCAGGTGGTGGCACCATGTGACGGTTCTCGTACTCTGCAAAGCCAAGGTCCACCCATGCAAACAGCCGACGTGCTGGATACATGCTCATTGCAGACTGGACCAAGAAAGGCTTTACCATCCACACCAAGACCAACTCTGGAGATGGGCAGTGGACTGGGACGACGGAATCCTTTGCCCGGCGCATGGTCGTGTCGGTCGAGCTGTTGAGTGCAGTCGCGACGATCCTGAGCACGTCGGAGAACCACACCGCGGTTGTGTTCGTCTTCGCCGTCAGCCGTCGGCGTGTGCTCACAAACTTGCCGCACATCTCTGGTGAGCAAAAGATGTGATAGTCCTCGTTGAGCCCCAAGGACCATCGAAAGGGGTAGGCGTGCTTGGCTTTGTTCTGGCCCAGTTTGACAAACGCCGAAATCACCATCATCTTGACGACTGGCGAACCCACAAGGCCACACCCTTCTTCGGATGAGGTGCACCCCGATTGCTGGCTCCTCTGCGCTGTCTCCTTTGGCTGCTTGTAGTCCTTGTTGCCCTTGCCCTCCACGGTGCGCAGGGCCGGCCCCAAGCCGAGCCGCTCCATGTGCCTCTCCGCCTGCCGCAGCGCCGCCCACCAGCGATAGGCCTCGCCGCAGTAGCAGGCGGTGTCGCTGCGCGGCGCCGAGAAGCCGCCGCCGCATGGCGCCATGCGAGCCCCCGCTCTCCGCGCGACCTTTGGCGGGCCGGACAGCTCGGTGCACTGCCAGGCCTTGCGCTCCGTAAAGTGGAGCATCGCGAGGCCGTCGAGCCGTTCGCGCCAAAAGGCGCGCGCGCGCACCTCGAGGGCAGAGTTGCCGCTCGCCTCAAACGGGAGCTCGACCATCGACGGGCTGCCGTACGGGTAGAGCGCGTTCATGAAGCCCTGCTCCGACTGCTCCACATTGTACGCGAGGCCGTTGCGCATAAGCAAGCTGTGCATGCGCGCCAGCTCGGCCGAGCTCGGCCGCAGGACAAAGATGCCCATGTTGAAGGTCGCGCTCCAGTTGCCGCCATAAAAGTCGCGCGCCGCCGCGAGCCGCTTCTCGGGCGCGTCAAAGAGGGCGGCGGCGTCGAGCAGCTGGTCCAGCGGTCCGATCGCGAGTGTGTCCGCGTCCAGATGCAACACGCTCTCGGAGATACGGCATCGTCCATTTTCGCGAAGTGATCGAGCGGCGCAGCTGACGAGAAGCCAGATGCTGCACCGTCCTCGTCGACGAAGGCGGCCAGATCCACCTTGCTGAAGCGTCCGCATCGAGTGCGGTCGGCGTGCTTCCTCTCTCTGTCTGACCACCGGGTGGTCAGATCGCCGCCTTTGATCAGGAGCTCGACCCGGCGAAGGCATGCGCCACGGATCGCTCTCACGTTCGCAATGAATTGAGAGTCGGCTGCCATGGTGCTAGCCAGGTTTGAGATACTCGCAGCGTCCGCGCTCACTAGCCGGACTAGGTCTGGGAGGCGCGCACCTCTCGAGTCGAGCTCTCGTGTGAGCGAGGCTAGGCCCGTCGGCGATGCGTCCAACTCGGCTATGCGAGCAAGGCCGTTTAAGACGCCGGTCTGCTCGGGGGAGGCCGCAATCCGCTGCGCCGCTGCGGCGACCGCCGTTGCCGAATCCTCTGTGCCCTCTTCTTTCGCTCCGTCGACGGGAGCACGAATGAAGATGCTCATCGGCGGGTTCGCCGCCGCGGGCGTGGGCACTTGAGCAGCTTGTGTTGTGCGGGCCAGTGCGGCCTGCTTCGCGGACTTGCATCTGACGATGAAGCAGGCTGCGTCGGTGGCTGACATGGCAGGGCCGGCGGCCAGGGCGGCCAGCGACGCTTCTTGGAGGTTTTCGAGGCCTGACGCCATCCATTCGGCGAGGAGCGCCTCGAATATGTCATGGTCCTCGAGGGCGACCTTTTGTTGCTCTGACTCGCATACCAGACAGACGGCCTTCGCGCGGAAGTCGTCAGCTTGGCCGCCGAGCCTGACGCGCCGCATGAGCGCTTGGAATGCGGTCGATGGCAGTGGCTCTGGCGTGACAGGTACTTTGAATGACTCGCCGAGCCGAGCGAGGAAGGTTTGCATCTCATCCACCGAAACGCTATCCTTCCCGGCAATCTCTTCCAGCATCGCGCTGTGCCGTTCGCTGAGGATGACGGCGTTGAGCGCACCAAAGAACATTTGGATTCTCGTGCTGGTGGCGATCGATGCTGCACCGAACGCCGGCATCTCGTCTGCCACCTTGAGAACTTCAGCCGTGACAACGTGGCCTTCCTCTGCCTCCTTGCACTGTGGCAGCTTACGGAACATTTTCAGCGCCTCGTTGGCACCTGATATCTTGACCTGCTCCGAGACGACCTCGTCACGGCGCTCCTCGTCGGCCTCGAGCATCTTGTTGGCCCGGAGGGTATCCAGCCATCCGGCCCAACCGGTAAAGATCCTGCCCAGCTGATTAGCGGAGAACAACTTGGTGCCTTGCAAGTGCTCCCTCTCGGCTTCCTGGGCGGCGGCGGTCTCCCCCGCTGTCACCGCCTGCCCCAGCAGCCCTTTGATGATCGGCCGTGCCAGCTCCGCGGCCTGCGCTGCCGTCGCGTCTGGGTGCATCACTTTGACGGTGAACTGCTTCGTCCCACCATCGACGACTCTGCCACCCACGCACACGATGATCTGCCCGCTTGTTATACTGTGCACCTGCGAATCGGCTCCAGCCGTGCCAGTCAGCTTCTCAATGATGGCATTCGTGCTCACGGTGAGGGCCATGGCGACTGAGAGGTGATGGCGAGGCGTGCGAGCGATGAAGGGCAGACACTCGATTGCGCCGACGGGCGCAAGTCTGCCGATATCTCATCCGATATCTCATCCAATATCTCGTTAGCTTCGACGCCTCGTGGTGTGAAGTAGATGATGTGGTACAGAGGCCTACGGCCTGCAGGGCGAGCGCCGCACGAAGCCCGGCACCACCCCTCAGCAGAGCTGGCGAGAATCCTGGCGGATTCGCGCTACCGCGATTCAGTTCGGCGAGACTGCGTCAGCTGTCGGCTGGGGCGGCGCTCTACGGATCGCTGGTCGTGAGGCAACTGGCAAAGATGGCCCTTCCGGCCCTCCGCTGCACCATCCGCGGCGGCACGCTCGTCACCCCGTCGGGCACGCGACGCGCCGACCTCGGCATCGGCGACGACGGCAGGATCGCAGCGATCGAGCCGTCGCTGCCTGCCGGGAGGGAGGACATCGACGCGACCGACCTCTTCTTGCTGCCTGGCGGTGTCGACTCGCACTGCCACATCGAGCAAAGGACTTCCAGCGGCCTCACTCCGGTCGACGACTTTTACTCGGCCAGCGTCAGCGCCCTCGCCGGCGGTACCACGACCGTCGTGCCGTTTGCGTGCCAGCACCGCGGCAAGCGGATCCGCGACGTCGTCGCCGACTACCGAGCGGTTGCGGCTAAGGCTGCAGTCGACTATGCCTTCCACGTCATCGTGACTGACCCGAGCGAGACGCACGCGATCGATGACCTGCAGGCCTGCTTCGCGCATGGATGCTCCTCGGTCAAGGTTTACATGACCTACGACGCGCTGAAGCTCAACGACACGGAGATGCTGGAC